TTTGGGAGGGTGACGAGGCCTCGGGCGCGGGTGTGCGGCGTGGACGCGGGTGATGGCAGCGTCCCGAGGCTGGTGCGGACGGGGAGCACGGTGGGTGTGGTCTGATGGAGGAGGGAGGGAGGATGGTTGATTCATCCGTTTATCCGCACGTGCCCGGGTCGGCGGTGCCTGTGCGCGATGGAGGTGGAGGGGTGCGCAGCATCAGCCATGACCATCAGCGGCCGCGATCAGTGCACGTTCGCGTGGGCGATCGCGGCCAGCCACCGTGCGCCGGGAAGATATCGCCGGCCACGGACTCCGGACGCCCGTGCGGTGCCCCCACGACGGAGGACGGAGACGGACCATCTCGGCTGTTGCGTGTGCGTGTGCGTGTGCGTGCCGACAAAGGCCTGCGTTAGCGGTTGTACACATTTGTATTCAATATTGCTCGCTGATCCCTCAGAGTTCGGTGTAGCCCCTTGGATCAAGTCTATCCCGGTCCTGTGCATCACGCGTGCATGTCCCGGTGGCGACTCTGAGAGAACGTGCTCGCGAGACCCCGGGTTTCACGGACGGGCAGTTTGAACGTCGATCGCGAACATAGTATCCTCCCCGGTGCGCCTTGTCCGGGCCTGGCCTAGCGAGCGAATTCGCTAGAAGGTTGGCAAGTCTGGCTGCAGCCGGTGAGCACTCCTCAATCCGCCCCAGTGCTGCCAGTGCACATGTTTTTCATTCGGGAGCTGGAATTTCCTCTATGGGATGGCACCCCCGCGTGGGGCAACCCTTCGTGCCGATCTACTTCTGCGAGAGATGCTTTACCACGTTTCGCCGTCCCACCGGGAGGAAGCGGACGAGACGTACGTGTGTCGCGGTGCAGCATATATCCCCAACCTGGCTGGAGCTGCGAGTCGGGTCTGCGCACAGTGCTTTGATGCTGCCCTGACTCGGGTGCTCTTTGGGGACTCTCTGCGTCTTCCCATCCTCCCGTTCCAAGTTCTTCCCACCTCCTTGACTTTGGACAAGGAGAAACCATCGTCGTTCACGTGTGATAATCTCCTTCTCCCCGAGACGGTGGCGTGTACTGGATATGGGCCGTTACACGTTCTCTCTGCCCCGGGATGCGACCGGGAATGGCCCAGGCTCCAATTCTGTGCGCGGAAGGCCCGCCGTCTGGGTGCGTCCCGCTTTGCGGCTGCCCGACTTCCAGACCGTGTTCGGATTGGCTTCTTCAGTGTATTCCCAGATACCCATCCGTGCGGGGCGTGGCCCATCTTCCCCCCCCATCGTCTCTTCGTTTCGTACTTTGGGATCACTTTCGAGTCCCCTGGTCTATCGTGTGTGCTACTTCAGAGATGCTCGGGAGGTCCGCCGTCTGGGTCCGTCGCTCTTTGTGGCTGCCCGACTTCCAAACCGTGTTCGAATTGGCTCTTCAGTGTATTCCCACTGCGCGCGTGGGCGCGTCCTCCCTGCCATCGTCTCCGTTTCGTACTTCGGAATCATCGAGTGCAAATCTATTTTATACAATCATCTGCTGACGGAAACAGCTACTGTCTCACTCCCGCTGTTTGCGCCCACATACTGCAAGCACGCTCATCAGGTCTATGTGGATTTCAATATCTGGGCTGCTTCTGTTATCGGATGAGCTGGATGACGGTGAAAATTTTTTGTGGAAGCTCGAGTGGGAGGTATAGGCCTCCATATGTTCAAGTACTTCATCGTGTGCGCTGTTATACAGACCATGACCATATATGCTATTCTGAAGTTTGTTTTTTCCCATTTTCTACATGTATTTTACACTTTTTACATGCTATTTACGCGTTTTAATAAGTCACGTACCATTTTATAGGAAATCCCATGATATTTGGTTTTCTACACTACTTATAAGGTAAATAACGGGGGGCAGACTTAGTTACCGACCATTATTTACATGTCTCGGAGTTTTCCCGGGACTCGGACTCAACCATCGGCCCCTCCAAGTGCTGTTTTGAAAACCGGTCAGTAGTTCTTTCCCCAATGTTATGGCATGATTGAATAAAACGCGCCGCCGCAGATACCTTCTTACTCGCCGAGACTTAGGATGCACTCGTATGATGACAGGGGCGACTATTCGTGCTTTTTCTAATGGCCTGATTCTTCACGAGATCTTCCTCGGCGTTTCATCAACACATCAGGGCATCTCCAGCCTCACACAAGCAGCTCGGGTCTGCAAGGGCTTCGTCGATGCCGCTACAACCGTTCTTTGGACAACCATTCCTCAATTTATCCCCCCTTTTTAAACATTCTTGCTGCATCACTCTCCGAATACCAGGGTAGAAACGAAACAATTGTATACGTGAGCCATTTAATACATTGGGACGAAGCTATGAGCTTGACGCGTGATCCAGATTCTTTCTGCGCCGATAGATGATCTCGAATGGTCTAGGCTTCAATTTTACGCTCAAAAAGTTCGTAACCTCAGTTGCCTACTATCCCATCCCATACCGTGTTACACAACAAGCCTCATTCAAATCGGTCCCTCGGTTTATTCTCAGATGCATCTCCGTGCTAGTGGCAGGCCGAATTCTCTCTGCCGTCGTTTCTATTGAATGGGAAGCCCCTCTTTCCGAAATCCTCAGTCTGTGGAATTTGATATCACCGTCTCTACAATGTCTCCGCTATCGTCATCAATCCGTTGAGCTAAATCCCGAGACCGGGGGCGACAATCACAAACTCATACATTTCCTATTGAGCCTAGGGTGTACTTCGCCGCTTCTACGCGAACTGAACTTAGACTTTGAATCCTAAACACTTACCTCATGCCATCTTCGCGGGTCTCCTCAAGCTGCGTATCACGTTACGTTATGGCCCTAGTATGGACCTACTACGTACATGGCAAAATTACAAGTCCTCGATCTTCATCTGCCTCAGGACGAGGCGGACAGTGATGAATTGAGCCAGCTAGGACTTGTCGGACTTGTTTCATTGCGATCTCTTCTTGTGGCCGGATCAGTGATTCAAGTTGGCACTCTCCTCAATGGTATATCCTCATCTCATCTCGAGTCCATAGAAATCGCGTACCATCATGTTGATTCCGACTTTGACGCTGTGCGTTTGGGCCCCCATATTAATATCCTTAGGACGTTGGGGACGAAGTTCTGCGTCTCACTACGGAGTTTGGAGGTCAACTATTGGCCATTCAGATTGGATGATATCCTTCAGCTATCGTCCTTCCTGTCACCTGTGCTGAACGTCCGAGGTCTTCGATCACTGACCCTTCAATCTGAGCAGGAACTATCTTTTCTGGATGATCCCATTCAACTGATTACCACGGAGTGGGATGAATTAGAAGTCCTAAATATTGGCGATTTCGCACGTGTGTATAACTACGTCTCGCCAAGCACCTCAATTTGCTGCCTCATCGACTTCGCACGCCATCATCCTAACCTATATTTCCTTCGCCTTTTTGGAACGTGCTTCCGCCCGCCGTCAGACGCGGAATACCCCCTAAATCTCGAGGCCCCATTGTTGCCTTATGCACATGGATTGAGACAGCTGCGTCTCGGCATATCCGAGGGTATGCATATATTGAACGATATCAAGACAGCCCAGTTCCTCGACAACATATTCCCTAATCTTGACATACAGGATCAAGTCGCGAAGGCGAGCGCGGATGCAGCGCGAAATGGCAAGGCATGGGACAGAGTTGTATGCATGATAGACGGCTCTGCAATCGGCCCGAGAGAGACATTCGCGGTGTTAAAAGGTAAGCTATGCATTATACAAGAAGACCTCACTGTGAGCTGAGCATTATCTACAGAAATGAGTTTCGTCCATACACGCGCAAAGTCAATCCTTATATCGTCATATTGCGTGATTTTGAGCCATTACAGAGATTGTGGTGTCCGGGTCGTGGCCAGGCGGGATGTATCGATATTGTAAGTAGAGGCACTCTGCCGAGGAACCATTCTTGCAATTTGCTTGCTGTGACTGCAATTTGATATTATTCGATGAGTGAATGGACCTGTTCGGCGACTGACCGTTGACGTTGAACGTTGAACTTCGAAGCCTTTGAGCGAGTACGACATGAACTTCGCTGTTCTGCCTTTGCTAACATATTGCGTGGCTATACTCCAGCCCAAAATTAAAGAATTTTACGGTACGTTCGAAACTCAATGAGCATATCTAATGGCTGCTATGCTGACTTCGAAGCGGACAGTCTAGTACGACCTGGTACGAATGAAATGCACGAGGACAAAAGTGAGGGGCACCAAGAAACACCGTTATGCTGTGAGTGCACGAGTCAAGCCGAGTCTACAGTTAATACCTGGGGAAATGAAGACCGACAGAACGTGTATCAGTGGACGACGGTGACTTGAAACCTCGTTGGTGGGTGCTGAAGATAAGCTTTACTCTACGACCCCTTGCGGAACTATTTCATTACGCCACCCCAGCGCAAGTTGGTTTTCTCGATGCTACAGCAACAAGTGTCGGTTACATAGACTCACCTCTGTTGCTCTTGTTCCAGATCACTGAGTAGTCGTGAATCAGAAAGATCGAGTGCTCGCGTAAGCTGACAATCCCTTTCCTTTATTTGCATTTTAACGCACTCATCCAGACATTTTTGACTTCCCAAGGATGATCGATGAAAAACGGCCCAGGTTGGGACATTATGCTCGTAAGCCCTGCGTGCATAGCAAGTTGGGGTAGGAAGGGATACATTCTCACCAGTTCATGTTGCAATATTGCTCTGATTTATTGTATTAGAATTAAATGTAATTCAATGCATGCGGTGACCGGTGGAGTTTCGGTGACTTTATACTGAAATACTTCTTGTCAGACCTGAAATTGTGATAGTCCTTCTTGCGCGAATCGTCTTAATGATTTCCGTCGCTCGCTAGTTCCGGCTTATATTGACGTCCTCTCGTTCGCCTCTCTCGAAGGGCCGAGCGGGCCTCCCCCAACATCGACTTGAAAGATGTGGATGTATCTCATTTTCGTGACAACTGGCGGTGTCTCTTGTCTCGATATGATGTGTGCGAGAGCGCGAAGGGTGGCGGCCTTCAAAATCATTGTGGCATTCTTGTTGTACTGACCCTTCTTCCGGGTGCACTGGCATATTCCATTACAAACGCATTGTCTGAACCGCGAGAGTCCACGTGCAGGTAGCTGAATCGCAAGACAATTCAGATACCAGCGGCTCCTTCAAGATCCTGAAAAATATCCTTATATTCTCGGAGTAATGACATTTTTGGGGGCCAGGACTTTCAAAACGGATGCCCTGCAGGGGAGGTCCGGGCCAGACGAGGGATCACCACAACTCGTAATCCGAGGGAGACATCGCGAAAACCTATCGCTTGGCCTGACTGACAGCCTCTGCAGATGCAAGCATGAGCGTCCGTCTACGCTACGAAGAGAAGAGAAGTGCGCACCTCGTCGTGTAGCGTCCTCCAACAGCTGTGTATCGACGTGCTCAGCCGGGAGCTGCACATACCGCACCACAGAGCCGCGAATGAAGCAGTTCTTCACCGCCATCTGCGTCCAGCGTCCGCGCGTCATCCTCCAGCCAGATCCAGGGGGCAGAAGCAACGCACCATGTGTGGGTGCCGCGCCTCGTCCAGCACGGTGATCGAGTCGAGTCGGATGTTCAAGAACCTACCAGACGGCAGAAAGAGGCCTTAGCAGCGGCTGCTGATGAACCTCGACCGCCCGCGCAAATGTGGCACCGACACTCACTGGTCGACGGATTTGAGCACCCCGGTGATGGAAAGGTCGTTCTTCAGCTCGACGGTGACCTGCTGGTCCGTGAGCGTCTTGAAAACCGAGAAGATGAGCTGCAGATGAAGCAGAGCATAAGCACTCCCGAGGTGCACTCGAGGCGTTGAAGTGCACTGACCATGGTGGCCGAGGCAAAAGACGTGCAGGCGCCCAAGCAAACAGGCAGTTACCTATAGTAGTAATTCTTCTTCGGACATTTATAGAATACTGAAAATTCAGAAACGAGTTGGCCGACGCTAGGTATAGTAGAGATTCTTGTGCATAATAATGATAATAATAGCGGCAAGAGTAACATTCATATATCAAACTTGACAACCTGCTGGCCCCCTCCCCGTTCAATCTTCAGCAGCCTCTTCGCCACACATCCGTAGATAGGCCGAGTCACAGCCGACCCGCCCAAAGCTCTCGCGACACCAGTCTCCGCATTCTTAGCGGACAGCACGTCTTTCAGCCGTCCTAATGGCATCGCATACGTCGGCGGAGACGAAAGCAGCGCAAGGAGCATGTGCGCGGTGAGGATCTGCTGTGCGGTCGGCTGAGCCGCGCCCGCGGAAGATGAAGACGACGGCTGCGTAAGCGAAAACGATGAAAGGCTCGATGCAGATGGCGACGTCGGGCTTGGGGTGTGGGTTGAGAGCAACTGAAGGTGGGCGCTGCACGTGGAGGCCTCGTCAGGCTAGAATAAGAGAGGGTCGGATTGACGTACATGGTTTCCTTCGCCCGCGGGGGTTTGCTGCCCCCACCACCGGACACATCGAACGGATGGCCGGGCATGATAAGCTCGCCGACCGTCACCCACATTTTCGACTGCGGTTATGTGAGTCTACAAGCTGAATGACAGCGCTCGCTACTTACAACAATACGCTCGAGCTCAGCAGTAACTCTAATCTTTGATTCCTTGCGAGTATCAGATGGTGGCTTCTCGTCTGGTGGCTTTGTGGGTGATGGTAAGGGCAACTCTTCATGAACCCTGTCCGGCGATTGATGCTCATCGTGGGTCATTATCCCCGATACGGCTGTGGGAACCTTGGTCAAAACAACTGTGCTTTCTCCAACATCACTGCTACCGCTGACATCCTCGCCGGTATCATCAGCACCTAACGCGACAACAGGCGAATCTGAACATCCCTCAAAATGGTCATCTGGCGCGCCGAGCGCCATGTCCTCAAAATGTAATGAAGGGCGAGAAGCTGATCGATCTTTCCTCAAGGGAACAGGGCTCGAGAAGGAGACTGCAGAGATATTCCCCATATCCACTTCTTCGTCTAGGAGGGAATCTCCGGTAAAGTGCAATGTTCGCGCAGCAGCGCCAGGAGTGTTCCAGAACGCCTCTTCCTGGTCGTCCAGAGGAGGCGGAGTCGGAGTCGATGACTTTGACTTCAGATTCGGCTTAGGTTTTGAGGAGCTAGCAGATGCTTTTCTCTTGAGCAGGGAGTCCCTCTGTGACACAGAACGCGGGTAGATCGAGAGGAGGCCATGTTATATTATGACGACTGACCTGTTTCTTAAGTTCAGTTATTCGTAATCCTGCAGTCTGAATACGCCGCTCTTCCTCCTTTATGATGGAGCTCGGAGATGCAGGTGGCGCAGCGGGACCTGTAGATGTGTGCTGTACTTAGCTGGAGTGAAGGTCAGTGCAAGAGATGGCATCCTCACTTGCTTAAGCTTATCATTCAATTTTTGGATATTCTCCCGCACAGTTTCCAGCTGTTCTACTATGCTCGACGCCTGTTCAGAAGCTCGTGGCATCGGCCTGATAGATTGACTGGCGCACAAAGAACGTCAATGCGGAAAATGCTATATTGAAATGCCGCACTCACTATCGATCAAGATACTTGACTGCTGCTCGGGCGTAGACTTCTGGCTCGTATTCGCCCATTCTCTGAGCATCCGGCCTCCCCACTTTATGGGGCGGTGGACGTCTCAGCGGGGTCGCTCCATGGAACTCTGCGCGGGCGATCTCTCCAACTTGTGGACCGCCAACTTCTGCATCAACGGGCGGTCTGGCAGACGGCACAAGGGTGAACAAGCCGAGTTCAGCAGGATCGATGTCGCGGATGAGGTCGCCCAGAGGTGTTTGAAGGACAGCATGTGTGAAGGGACCTGAGGAAATTGGTGTCGCCGCAAGAGAGTTTGACTGAATGGACTTTGCCAGTAAAGAGATGCGGTCGACGTGGTCAGAGAGAGAACTCATTCTGCTCAAGTCGTTGTTTGGCTCAGACAAGGCGCGACTTCACATGTTCGACACGCTCAGACCTGCCCTAGACTGATCACGTGGCAGCGTACCTCCCAAAGCGCGCAGGGATCTTTTTCTTCCTTGAAACTCCTGGTTTATACTCCGTGCCTAGAGATACATGCAGAGTTTCGGTAACTGTAGCTATTGAAGATCGCCGGAGCGGTACGCACTCTTCGCCGCGCTTGACATTGAGCTATTGTGGTCTTGTGCCCAGACGTGTCGAAGACCAATACCGTAGTCTGCCAGAGTCCGTGACTCTCATGCGATTCAGGCATTACAACTTGTGTACGGGTAAGTTGCACAGGGCGGCGATACTTTCCAAGGATCACTTTTGCGTGTATGCACGGAGTTCCTTTCTGTTGGTCTTAACACATCATCGTAAAGCATAAATATCCAGACTGGGACAACGGTGCACGAGGGTGACGAGGAAAGAAATTTCCACATAGAGATGGTGTCTCGTCCTTGACTTTGACTTTGAATAAGAATGTGGCAAGAATTTTGGATAGGAAGAAGGGGTGAGGTAAAGATCTCCGAGGAACACTTGCGGCAGCATCAAAGAATCCCTTGCAAACCTGAGCTGCTCTGGCGACATCTGAGGTGTCCTGGTATGGTGTTGTAATATGGGATCGAAACTCCGAAGAATCACGTCGACGCAGGTCGGCGTAAAGAATCGTCTTAAAGGGACATGTGATGAGCCTTATAAAAACATTCAGACACCGTCGCGGTTCATTCAATCACATTATATACGTATATCCAGGAAAGGAACGCTCACCAGCTGCTGTTTGTGATTATTGTCCGGGCTATCATAGCTCAATTCCTACATTCAGGCTCCAAGAGCGACTCCAAAATAGCCAAGGAACACGCAGCATATCTCCTATCAGTCGCGACCGCGAAGATCAGCATATGAAGGTATTTATGCGAACCCCATTAAGTGAAGGAAAACAAGCCGGAATCTAGAGAGCAGTCATAGATGCCGCAAGAAAGGGCACAAGAGCCCATGATTGATTGCAGTCTTGGATCTGTAATTCCGCACATCTTCAGGAATGGACAGAGACAAGTCATTGGCAATGTCAACGGCCGTAGCTTGTCTGACGCAACTCACCATTACATGTTGGTCATGTCTTGAAGGGTCTGCACCACAACTTGAAGACATCGGAGTGAGTGGAAAAACAGGACATTCACCGCAGCAGTAAGTTTCAGCAAATATCAAATAGCCAAGCTCCACCGTGAATGATCGTAAGCCAATTCGCCAACCTTCAATAGGAGAGTAACTTACCGAAATCAGCACCACTCTTAGGGTCAAATATGAAATCCGGCGAGTAGAAAAGCTACAATTAGTTGCAATAGAGCATTTTCAATATTTGAAGGCGCTCGCCTTGCGTAATTTCAGAGAACGACTAAACCCGCGCCGCACGATCAAATCTCGTACGATCAGATCTGGAAGGAATTGAGTAAGAATTAACAGTAGGAGCAAATTCAAGCTCTTCGACAAGAGCCAGGCTTACGCGCAGCACACGAAGTGAAAAACTCTCGAAAGCATGAGAGGGATTCACTGTAATCGCCACAAGCCTGAAGAAGTTTCCTGTGAGCAGAGCAGATACTTCCTTCAAGCTTGGCTCTTGCAGGCTTTGGGTATCCGTATCTGTTGTATCAGCTTGAGATCCATAACCATATGTAGATCTCCACTTACTTGCTATTGGAAAATTCGAATAAGTTGGGGTCAATGATGCATGGTCCATGATTAAGACGCGATTCGGTCGTTAACGAATCTGTTCAACTTGAACATATATGTGTAGAGGTTCTACTTCAATCGGTATCACAATCTGAACATACGCTCAAGCTGGTGCTCAGAACATCCCTCGGCCCACGATCCCTCACCTATTGTCGTTTCAAATCCTCACATCCTCACAGAATTCTAGCAATCAGGAAATTGACGGACTCTCATCGCAGTGTGAGCTGGAATTTTTCACTAGTACTGCAGAAGTAGTACTGTATTAGCAATGTCGTCGCAATGAACCGGGCTTGCCTCATAAAAGTAAAATAGTATTCTTCGTGATAAAGTTGCAAGTGCCTTGTGCAACCTCATCGCGTCGGCGTTGACGACCCTGAAGACTCAGTGCTATCCCATCGACCAAACTCCCAACCATCATTCGACGACCCACTAGCATTCAATCCTCCCCGCTTCCAGCTTTCTTGGTCCCACGTCCATTTCTTCTGTGATTTCTTGACATTAGAGGTTGAGGTTCTACGTATGAAAGGCTCTTTTGCAGTAAGTTGCTCAATCTTCGCGACCATATCCCAGGCCTCGCCACTTCCCATCGAACTTTCCTCTTGCCAGAGATTGCGCTCGCCGACCTCACGGCGGATCATCTCCGCTAGGCTGCGCGTGCGATTGTCCATCTCTACACCATTCACCCGCATTTCCTCGAGGGCATCGCAAACACCACGTAGATCGCGGAAGCACCGCCAACGCGTCTCGATGAGCTCGTTGTACGCCGGCGTTGTACAGCCGAATACGAACGATGGTATGGAAAGATGTCGTGCGTGGTCGAAGATGGATAATGAGAGATGAGGATCGGCGTACTTTTCGCGGAAGGTACGCATGAGTAGCGATATGAGGTGAGGGTATGCTGGAGGCTGGAGTTGCACAGGCTCCTTGGAGGACGTAGGATTTTCAAGCGATCGTCTTGCATTCTCTTCATAACGCTGTGACTCTGCAAACACCTCCTTCATGGCCCAGTCAAGAAGTTGTTGATCCGTATTGCACAGCTCCATTTGTTCCTTCTTCCGGTCGAGGTCTTCGTCCGCTTTGTCCGTCCACTTGATATGTTTCGACTGCTTCCGTAGTCTCCCAAACAAATCACCCATCTCGGAGGATCCTCTGCGTCCAATTCCTAACGTGGGGGAGAGCGAGCGAGGTTTCGAACCGGTGCTCTGTATGTTTTTTTCAGAGACCGCACTGAAAATCATATTGAACATTTCGTCGAAAGCATTGATTTCCCGAACAGTCATTCTCTGGCGACGAGGAAATCTGCTCGTTTGTGCGCCACTGGCTCGGGCTGTCGAAGGAAGCAAACTAGGCTTGTCCACAATGTCGTCAAAGACGTGGTCCCATGGTGACGCAGATGGCGAGAATATCGAGTCCTTACTACCAAAACGATTAGTCTAGAATGACGCATTACGAGCTCGGCTCACTTTGTTGGCTTAGAAGAATTCCCCGTGGAATAAAATCGCCTTTGAGAGTGGCAGTAATTAGTCGATGGTGAGGTGGATGTAGAAGTGTGTGTATGCGATGGAAATGATACTGAACTCAACCTGGAAGAGGGCACCTTAGGTGGACATGGTTCGGAGGTTGCTAAACAGAATGGATTACGAGTCGTCCAAGCGACGCAGACAAGAAACGGACGCACCTATCCGGGCCACCGACGAGGCCTGTTTGAGCGAATGCTTGCCGAGCATTATTTACGGGACCCAAAACAAGACAACAGCAATGAATTTCCTAAGCAGTGCCGGGACCTCGTTGACTACGTTAGCACTGAGCACTGCGACTGGGCGTTCCAAACTCTAAGGCTCCATCACGTGAGCACATAGAATGTACACAGCATCAGTACTTTAAATTCCTGAGTCTCGCTACGAAATTGGATTAGCCAAGTAGCTAGCTGCTCCATTACAGAAACTCTTCAGGCCCTTGTCGCAACCGTTACTTTCCAAATGCATAGAATAGACGATAGCTATTTAATTGCGAAAGAATGTAGCTTGCCTCCGGTATCGAAAGAATATTAACGAGCGTTATAATGTGTGGTGCGTCTGGATCCGAGAAGAGAAATGCCGAACTGTACATGGGAGGTATCCAAAAAAAAAGCCAATCCAGATAGCGAGGAAAAGGATAATACAACAGATTAAGCAATGTGATGCTATGTCAAGAAAGATGTCGTCGCAGTAGTCTAAAATTGGGGTGTGGGTGACCGAATAGAGGGATTAGTAATTGTTGCGGCGGCGGGGCTGCGACGTCCTGGCCATGGGAGTCGATGGTGGAACAGCCCCTTGGCCATGGGCGGGTACGTAGTCGGGATCGGTTGAGCTGCATTGCAGGTGCAATAACAAATTATGAACAAAAGTCTGTTCATACCTAATGTCACGTCAGACATTATATTAAATCTGGATGCAGATATCGGCTTACTGTGCGTTCGTGAAGACGACAGCCATAGAGTCCGAGTTGCAGCGAAGTAAATTTGGTGTCATCACCAGAGCCAGGTTCGGGGATGTCATTTTTGTGATCGCTTGAGTTCTTTCTTCCAGGAACACCTGAAGGAAGCTGATGATGAACAGGACTACACGTCTATTGATGGTAGGCAACCTCTGGATTATACCCAAACATTGATCCGGATCATGGGAGCTGGTGATACAGTCATCGTATAGCTCATCAGGCACGAGAGGATCGCAGAGCTCGCGCAGCCATAGCTTCAGCAGAGAAGCGAGGACGTGAGGGTCATCCACACCATCGAGACTATAATAACCTTTCTCGATGCGGAGCTTTAGATCTGAAACCGAATCACTGTCCCCAGGTACACGAAAAATCCCTTCGGTTTTGGTGCCACCAAGCGCAAGGATCCCATCGGCAAGGAAGGGTAAAATGATGGGAACCTTCATGTGAGGATAGCTCCGCTCTTGTAATCTGAAGATAGTATCGAGGGATTCCCCAAAAATAGATGGGTGGAATGCAGCGTCCTATACGCAGTGCATAACTTAGCGTCATACAAATAAAGTTACGATAATGGACTTACTGAAGCCGTCTCGATCTCTGCGGTCGTCGGAGCTTTCCCCCTAGGACCTTTCCTCGATATATACGCTAGTCGTCGGAGGCAATATTTTGCCATGACGTCAACTCTCCCTTCCTGTCGAGACGTCGCTTGCTGCAGAAATGATTGCAGATATGTCTCAAAATCTTTGGAAGGTGGAAAGGTAACAAGAAGGACGCAAAGGAATTGCCAGCCCTTGAAGACGCTTTCACTATTAACAATCAAACTCTGCCATTCACCGTGGAGAAACGGGAGATAACACGAACGTGTTTGGGTTACCACTGAGCTGTTTCGTAAGCTGGCAGTAGACCTCGTCTCTCAGCTCTCCATGAGCGAGACCTTCTCCTAATAACCATCGTTCCTCCTCTAGTAAAGCCATCGATGATCCTGTTTTCAGAGAAGTCGTCGAGCCATTGACTGGTATGGTAGATGTGTCTGAGTTTAGGCGTACACCAACTGGTCTGTCGCGCTCTCGGTCGCCCATAATATGCTGTATTACTTTGAAGATCTTCAAAGCATCTTTATGTAGAGACTTGTTGAGCATTAGCAGCGGTGAGCTGAGAGGTATCTGCCTAAATGTCAGGGTGATAACATCGTTTTGGATAATGAGGATGTAACCTTTTGCCACGACATCAACTGCGCAACCGGAACTTTACGCTTGAAGAGGAAGCCAGTGCGGTGGATTGAGAAGTATTGCTTGGCGTACTGTGACTCGGAGAATTGCTGGATCTCCGATGACAATTCATGAGGTAATACAGGATATCTTCTATAAAACGTTCAGCGGTCGAATGGTATTATCGTTGTTGACAGATGTAAACACACCCTGTATTCAATGACGCTCCTGATTCACGTGTCGTCTTTCGATACATGCCTACTGGCACAGGGGTTGCAGCTGCGGGATTCAGCATCGGGTTCAAATTTTTGGTAGCCTCTGTCGAAGGGCAAAAAACCGAACCAATCAGCGCCTTGTATAGGGGATATAATCAAAGCATATATTAACCTGCGTTGGGTATGGGACTACTGATCACTTTACCGTGCAAAGATACAGGCATAGGCGTGGAAACACTCCTGGTGCCAAACGGAGGGGAAGCGGGTGTGGGTCTTCGAGGAGACAGCGAAACGACATTCCTGTCCTTCTTTCCTCTTGGCCAGATTGGAGATGATGGCGCAGTATTGATCCCCAAATTCCTCGTATCTGTGCTGATACGTAGTCTAGTGGCGTCTCCAAGAGATGGCGTCGTGGAGCGCCCAACATGTCCATTTTCAGAAGACGCCCTGTACTTTTCCTGCGTGGTCGAGGTCGAAGTCGATGACTGAGAGCTGGAAAGCGCGATCATCTCTAGCGCAGCGTTGAGGCTCTGAGGCTGCGGTGATCTGTACGCGAGATAGCTAGACGATTTCGAGCGAGATCGGCCCAAGGAAAGCTCGTCCAGAGTTTCAGAACGTCTGGGTGGACGATCGCCTTCCTTTGTCTTGCCATGACGGTCGTGCATTGATGTGGTCGATGTGGACTTGCGTGCAGCAGGCGATGCTGGTCGAGTAGATGCATCAGACATATAGGGCGAGCCAGGAATTGGCGCAAGTGGATGGCCACGAGGATATGATAGAGGGCCTCCGCTATTGCCTTCATTTTGATACTCGCTACTAGACCCCGGACGGCGCGGAGACTTCCTGTTGGTACTTGCATTGGACGCAACGCCAGATTGACCAGTTTTTCCGGGAGAGCTCCGAGTAGAGGATTGTGAACGGCGGTTTTGCAACTTGGTGCCCTGTGTCTGAATCGCTTTGGGGGTTTCCTTCTCAGTCATATACGAATGTGATCTCCGATAGGGAATGCGTTCTTGTGTACTCGACGAAGGTGCTGCTGCGTCTATCTGCGAGTTTCGCCGAATAGACAACCTGCGACCAAGTGCGGTATTCTGCATAATGTCATGCTTCGTCGATAAGTGCAAGCAACGGGGTTACACACTTGCAAAACACCCAAAGGAATCACAAAAGCTTGCGGCCGCTCCCAAACTGTCTCGCCAGACTTCGTATGATAGTAGTAGGGGATCCCGCTCGCCTCGTCGATCATTTCCCACCATTCACCCTCCGGATTTGGAGGAAGGCTAAAGCGCGCTCAGCTTAATGATTGATCGAGAACCAGATGCCACTCACAGAAAATTACCGACGGGTGGGTCCCAGCTGACTTCACCCGAAGCAGGACACGCATAAAAAGATACCTGTGTCTGTATTTAACAGAGTGGGCACGCACTGTACTCGCAATTAACATATCTGAAACTCACCTGTGGATCGACCAGCGTAACCCAGAAATTCGATCCCCATCCATCATTCGTCGTTGGCGCTGAAGTAGACGAATCGCCGGAGGACAAGGTCGATGCTGGTCTGCCATTTAAACGCACTTCAGGGGTTGACAGCACCTCGTGTTCGCCACTGGCATCGTTTGCCTTTTTACCATTGACGACGGATTTTGATGGACTCTGATTCTCGGAGTGTGTTGTCGAAGCCTGAGCAGATGTCATACCACGACAATCACAATGTTCCAGAGAAAAGCAACGTTGCCCAGCCCAGCGAAGAGGAAGTTTTAAAGAAAGGTATAAGAAGACAAGGTATACAACATGAACAGGTATAAGTATTTCGCGTTTCACGCGGCCGCAGGGTTGGGCGCAGGTCGCTTAACTTCGCCGCGAGCTGGTCCCGATTAGCGACACGTGATCGAATAGCGGCTACTGTGGACTTTCGGGATCGATCGCGACTTGGACTCGGAAGCTTTCTTGCTCAGGTCTTGGTATTACTAGCATCACTCGTTCGAATAGCATAATGTGGTAACTGATTCTCGAACAAATGTACATGAGTGATAGGTCAGATTATCTCCCACTCCAAACAAAGTTACCCATTGGCAACCTAGACGTTGAGTTACAATACTTACAAACCTGCTGCTGCCCTCAGTCCGGCATAATTAGGTGTTCCAAGACCAGTTATCTGGTAGAGATGGTTAACGGACGAGATCCGCTGAGAAAATACATGCTCATACCGGGTCCCAACCGGCGGTAGCAGAGAAACCACTTGTGTTACATCCTGGGTTGTTGCCAGAGGTGATGTCTGTCAGCGCAGACGTAGCCGTTGAGTACAGCCACGGATTCAGGAATCCAAGAGGCGGCTTTCCAGAAGCAATTAGCTCGTCGTTCAACAGCGCGACAACAGATGCCCATATGGGGCTCGCGCAGCTTGTGCCATCTTCTAGTATCGTCTCCTGGTCCCAAATGATCGGGATCCAGTTTGCTTGTGCCGAGACGTCAGGGTATCCCCTTCCAGAGGCGTTGTATAGACCATCATATTCACTGCCAAGGTAGGAAAGATAGGAGGAGACCGCGGATTTCTGGTACGATGGAGTAGCCCAGTAGTTGGAAAAGCCGCCTGACGACAGGGCGATACCAGTCTCAGGATTGACACCAGTTGTCCCACCGACGGATGTTACACTGGAAGCTTGTTATTCAAAACAAATAGGTTCGTATGATTCGCCGAACAGGGGCTTACTAGGGGCATCCGGACGGGAACGTTGCTAGAAAATCCGTGCAAGTCTGGCCGCTTTTAGCACCTCCTACACCGCCGTCGCCAGAAGCAAAGAAGATAGAAACTCCGCGCGCACCGAGCTGCGCATAGGCATTACACAGGTTGCTTCATACAGCAGAACTGGTCAGAATCGACGCCACGTGTGAAAGACGATTAGAACCCACGTAGCAATCTCCGTTGATATATAAGCCTCATCATCGCCGTAGCTAGTTGTCAGCACCTGAGGGGGAGAGTCCTCATTTAACAAATAATCGATTGTATCGAGCCAATCTCCAAGGTTGTCATCATCTTCTGACCCAACAGAAATGAAAACCACAGACACATTTGTGGCAAGGCCTACGGTGTACTGTATATCGATATTCTGCGAGAGATGAATTACTATGCGTGTCTACACAATGAAGCACACACGCGACGTAAGCAGTCGGAACTCACGGCTTCGAAACCTGCATCATCCTCATCCTGAGGATTTGTGCCACTGTCAATCGATAACAGAGTAAATGTTGATGTATCGGACATGTCTGGACGATAATCCTGTAGGAATGTCTACGACAACTTAGCAAAGCATAGACAATGACAAAAGAATTTGTACCTGAAGGTCGGCCGCATTGGCCCAATTATCATCGTATGCAGTGACACCAAGCATATTTGAGGGCTGAGTCGCTGGGGTAGCAGGAATACCGTACAGAGACTGCAGGCAAGCCGGGGTCATGTCACTCCCACAGGAGTCAGATACCGTAGCATTATTGTTTTGCGCCGAGCGCCTTCGTCCTATAGTGGATAACATAGATTTTTGGGACCTGTATCTGGGAAATCTGGTTGAAGACGTCAGCTCTAAAATACTATATCTCGATCGGGAAACCAATTTACATCGTGGTTGGATGCACTGCAGCAACATGGCCTTGTAGCTGATCGGGAAGGGAATACAACATCGTTCGAATGGTATTTTTCCCTGTAGCGTCATGTGTGTAAACGCTGTAATCTGCATTGAATAGCTCATTGGCAGTGCTGACAGAAACTTGGAAGCCAAGCCAATCCCCCGCGGGGGTGAGTTCAGTCGCATTGATATTGTTCACCTGCAGCCACGCATCTACAATGCGTCTTGTATCTGGGGATGGAGCAACAAATGCCGCTGCCTGGTGTAAGTCAGGATCATATAGTACGAGCTACAAGCTTCGAGGGTCAAACATACCTCTTCCTTGCTCAAGTGATGTCCATAGTTTGGGCTGGTTGGGGTACTCACGTCATAAAGCGCGGCGTCGAGCCCAGCAGAATCGCTTTGCGCAAGCGCGATGCGTATGTTAAGGGTGGTATCGGAAGGAGCAGCCCCAACAAGGGTAAACCCTGTTTGAGGACTTGCTCTGCGGAGCTTATTGAGGGAACCGTATCTTACGGGATTGCCGTAGGCATACGCCAGAAATGAAAGTAACGCTATATGTGTTGCACCAAGGAGCAAAAGAACCATTTTGCTTTTGAGAGACTCGGACGGAGAGATGGAAGATCTTCTGCATCATCATGCAGGACTATTTGTCTCTTATATAGACACGAGGGGGCTCACCTTGGATAGTACGCGAACGACAGGAGATGAAAGATAAGAGCATGTGCGGATCCGCGAGCAATTTGTTCGTACCCTTACATATGCACCAGATAGGATCGAGCCATGCGGGGTGAACCTAGGTGATCATGATCGCCGGAATAAACTCCAGTCCTCACCCATATTGAAGCCGTACTTAGCAGATGGTGCGGCTGGGAAGAACATCCGAATCACGCCGAGGCTAGTTGCAAGCACGAAAAGAACAGATACAGTTGAAGAACACAACGTATGACGATGATCTTGTGGACAAGGATCACCTTCGAGTGATCAAGGCGAATGTCGACAGACGCTTAGCTCTACCAGTAAAAAAAAGCATGAGTGAAAAGACCGGGCTCAGGGCCCAGCCAAGATATTTCAGTTAACGGGAAACTTACGCTGTTTCCGGCAAGCATCGGTATCGACCATGTGCATCACCGCATCCGAATCATATCAAGGTCATATGCACAAGAGCGAACCGGGGATCGCGGGTGAAGTTCAAAGTCACCTACCCGATCAGAACCTTTCGTCTCCATGTGCGCTGATTACTGCCGCGTCGTGTGAGGATTGACCACTAGTCAAAAGGACGGAGACTCTCATAAGCAATGTGAAAAGCAGTTCCTAGACTCGCTAGTAAGCAAGAACGCAAGACTGATACTGAATTGTGCGTTGCTGGCAGTCGAAGTTCCAATGAACGGCGACAGTACTCATGTCGGACAAAAAGCAGCAAGCTAAGGTTGGTGCGCAGGGCGACGGTTGAAGTTATTAGTCTAGTTCAAGCTGCTCTGGACATCATTGTGGTCGCGGCGGTTGCAACTAGCGCTGTGATCAGTGTACACAAAGCTCGTGAAGACCGCGTCGTAGTAGGACCTCGGCTAATCCCCTATGAGCCTCAATCCCAAGGGTACCCATTTTCGGCGGTCGGAAAATGCCCCAATTCGGCCTGATGGCACATAACCTGCCGGAGATTGGTCGATTTTCGGCTCAAATGGGATCGAACCTCGCCAAAAATTGCCAAAAAAAACCGCCAATATAACGTATCTACGTAGAATAGCAAAACGTCTCAATGCACGACGGTTTTTAGTGTCTCGAATATATTTTTGCTACAATTTAGGTTGAAACCTACCCGAAAGCTTTGACGTGAACCCTGATCGTCTTCCGGGTTAGCTTGGGCACAAGAGCGTTTGCGACGAGCAGCAGGCTAGTAGTCAAACTTTCAAGACGAGGCTCTATCTAAGACCTTGAATGTCACAATCACATCATGGCATACTCATATGAAACATAGCAGATGATCATAATATCAAAACTAATGTGTTCAAATATAATCTATTTTCATACTAATGCTCGGGAAGTATGGCTGAAAGCGTTTGGTAGCCACACCGTTCAATATCGGCAATACTATGTATTTGTACACACACCTTTACCAACTTATCCTCCTCCTCCTCCTCCTCACCAGTCCGAGACTCCCCGATTCGGCGGTCGTGGCATCAAAGACCCCGTCAGAGACCCTCGTTTCCCTCACCTCTGGAACATAACATGAAGGGTCACTGACCCCATATTCAGCCCTCGGGGACTGGTCCTAAGGGCTCTGGAGACCCTCATTTTGGTAACTTTGGGATAGAGGCTCATAGGGGATTAGCCGAGGTCCTGTCGTGGCCTGTCGTAGCAGATCTACAAATATGGTCTCATATCGCGCGCGCTAACTTCGTACGTGTCATCTCATACACAGAAATCTTGTGAAATATTCACTAACGGAGTGCACAACCCACAGCGGCGAGCATCATTCGCTATGGAGAATCATACACTGACACTGTGTTCACGCATAACAGAGTGTCTGAATTCCTGAGTGACATCTTTCTACCTTTGAACCTGCCAGACGGCGACGACGATCATGCGTTCATAAAAAATATGAATTTAAGTTAAATTGCGCGAGGCTGTATCGGAAGCCATAGCATGCCGAATCCAAGTTCAATCATCAAGCTACCTTGGAGGCTTGTTCATCTGATCCCTGCACCAGGCATGATATCACTGACAGCACTGACAGCACTGTGCAGTACGACGTAGTACCAGTTGGATCCCAGGGTGACCCACAGTGTTCACAATGTTGACCAAGTTCCCCAGGTTGCAATAGCCGTGGCCCGTAATGGTACGTCCGACAACTTTTGCACTATCCAGATTCGCCGTGTCTCGAAGTTGAGACTGAAGTACTGACATTGGGGAATCTTCGAGAAAGAGGAAATTACATTTTCATAACTTAAAAATCACTGCCTCACCTAGGCTGTGTTCTCATACCAAAAGTGACACGCGCTGAGCGTCCTCCCACGTTTCACGTGTGCCTAGGGACCTGTGTCGAACCTAGCCTCACATGTAAGAAACCTCGCACAAGTGAGCCATACTATATATACAGTAGAGAAAGGCCACCGGAGACGAGGCTGACAGTGAACGCGCCGCGTCGAGGCGCGTTTCGTCTGGAGACAAGACAGAATTGCTACGATTATCTGAAACACTCTTCCAATCGCAGCGAATGATTTTTAGCGCTCTCGCGATCGGTGAGGAGGTACTTCCCCATCAATTTTTGACGTAGTCACAGCAGATGAATTCAATTGGTTCATACTTGGCGCCAGAGCTAGCAAGCTCAATTTCCACTCGAAGACATTGTCATCGACAAATCCAGGACAAGTCAGAGATATGGTCAAACATGCGAACCCAATGATCAGTGGACACTGAACATACACGGGAGCACTGAGTGTCTAGATCTTCAGAATCTCATCCCCGGACATGCCCAAGGGACGAGACCAGATTACTGAGCTCCATAAGGAAACGCGAAAGCGGATTTGAGATATCCATAAAGTTTCCGTTTGATCAGTTCACATAGGCCGAATTGTACGTGCGCATAGATCAGGAGAGGTTAAGTGTTTTATATAATGTCCGAAACGCGCGTCGACGCGTCGACGCGGTGCGTTCACTACGTCTGGGGCGAGACCACGTCCACTGTGCTGTGATGACTATGACCATACCATATCCATCAAGAAACGGAGGTCTATTACCGCCTAAGTTGTGAGATATTCGTGTTTCAAAGAGAAGCGGCGGATGCAGGTGCCTGATGGAAAAAAAAATCAAATGACTCCAGATCTCGAGTATAAAACGTCCCAGTCATATCTTAGTGCTAAAACATCTAAACATGTCTATCCCATTCACCCCCCTCTACATCGATGGCCAGTACCGTCCGGCCAGCACGGCGGCAACCTTCGACGTGCGCAATCCGTACTCGAACGAAATCGTTTCGCAAGCCTCGTCAGCTTCCAGCGAAGACTGCGCGAATGCGGTGGAGGCCGCGGCACGAGCGTTTCCGGCATGGGAGCAAACACCAGCCGCCGCAAGACGGGACTACTTGCTGAAGGTCGCCGATCTCCTAGTGACCGACAAGTACAGGGAGAAGGTGATGCTCGCTATGCAGGAAGAGACCGCTGCCAATGGCATCATGCAGGGCTTCAATGTCTACGTCGCGACCATCATGATCCAGGAAGTAGCCACCATGATCTGCGACCTCAAGGGCGAGACGTTCCCATCCGGCACCCCTGGTGGTCAGGTCATAGTTCAGCGCAGGGCGCAAGGTGTTAAGTGCGAGCGTTCCGCGTGTGAGAGGAGATAATCATGCTGATTTTATGCCTCATTTGGTAGTTTCGCCATAGCCCCGTGGAATGCGCCTCTGGTTCTAGCAATACGCGCTGCGGCATACCCCCTTATCTGTGGCAACACCGTAGTCCTCAAGACTTCAGAAGTCAGTCCACGAACACATCAGGTTGTTGCAGAGGCCTTTCACGAGGTACATACCTATGCCCTCTACCATGTGAAGTCATTGACGAATTATTGTCACGCAGGCGGGACTACCTGCCGGCGTCCTGAACTTCATTCATGCATCACGAGAAGATACGCCCGCACGAGTTGCCCAGATTATCGCACATCCCGCGGTGCGCACAATTAATGTAAGTCCCTAATCCTGGTCATCCCTTTCGACAATGTTACTGACTATTTGTAGTTCACTGGGAGTGACCGCGTCGGGAAGATCATAGCAGGAGAAGCAGCCAAGTACCTCAAGCCTTGTGTCCTAGAATTAGGTGGAAAGGCTCCGGCGGTGGTACGTCCTTATCAGGTGTCGTAAAGTTCTGTACAAATCCCCCATTTTGTAGGTCCTCGAAGATGCGGATATAGCTCAAGCCGCAAAAGCTATTACCTCTTCAGCACTACTGCATTCTGGGCAGATCTGCATGTCCACTGAGCGTGTCATTGTCCAGCGAAAGGTTGCGGCGAGTCTGACCAAAGCTCTCGTCGAAGAGTTCAGCAAGCTCAAGGCGGGTGGCCCGGAAGAGCCGCTTCCGGCGCAATTCACCGAAGGATGTGCGGATAACATCGTGTCAATGCTGCGCGATGCTCGAGACAACGGAGCTAAATTTTTGTTGGGTGACGGGACACGAAAGGCAGCAGTGGTGCAACCGCATATTGTCACTGATGTGAAGCCGGGGACGAGATTGTGGGAGCGAGAGTCATTTGGGCCCGGTAAGTTGCAAAAGTTCTGCTCTATTATTTGTGGCTTTCTAAGACGCATCCATAGTCACAATCATCACGGAGGTCGATACGGTTGACGAAGCTGTGGAAATGGCGAATGCTTCCGAGTACACTCTAGTCGCCAGTTTGTGGACCAAGGATGTCCATAAAGCTATGGACGTTGGTATGCGAATTCGAGCCGGTAAGTGTGTGTTCGAGGGCACTTTGAGCAAGTAGGCTGATCGCTTCGCTAGGAAACGTCAGTATCAATGGACCTACGCTTCACGTTGAAGTGTCAAAGGACCACGGTGGGCTGGGGTAAGTCTCCTCACATTTTGGAAGTGCTTTATTGACATACTGATTGGCGACCGTCCCACGTCTAGTGGAGCCTCGGGATACGGGAGATTCAACGTTGAGAGCTTCACCGATACTAGATCAGTTGTGTTCCATCCTGCCAACCCGCCTCCATATCCGCTGGTGTAATTTAACTGTATTAAAGAGCGTATATGAATGTATTATTGTCACTGGCCAGAAAGGGGCTTACCACAGGATTGTTACCTGAGAGTGGTAACGCAGCGGGGCGGTGCCAGAATCGCCATGTTCATCACAATTTGATATCATTATTGTCCTGATTAAATCTCGAAGTTTGATGCGTCGACAGGTTGGAGCTGTTACTATTCAGTGAGACCAGCATGAGTAGAGGAGGAGGAGACTATTTCCCACGGCGATCACTCAGAGAAATGAGATGTTGATGACGGGGGAAAAAAAACCCTGCCCATGTCAGGAACAAAAACCGGCGAGTGAAATTTTGTCGATATCCTGTACACATAAATGAGATAATGCAAACATGAAAAAACTGCACATGGCAGGGTCAATGACCGGCGCGTGAGGTCTTGTGCCAGCCGGGCGCCCCTCGAGTGGAATATATCAGCAGAGTTAGCTACAGGCTGACTGCGAACTTTGTAACTCCTTGCACTCACGGTCTCCATATCCTTACGATGTATAACCTGTTATATCGCCCCAAGGCCGGTCATGTCCATTTCTCAAGAGACCATGATATTTCGGCCGAGGATCGTATATGCCTCAATGTTCTACCATTTGGGGAGTCGTTGACGTAGAGTCTCCAACGGCATTGCGTCGATAAACGCAACAGAAGTCAAGCTTGAGGTATATAACCACCCAGCTCTCCATCCACCGATGTCGAGACGTAATATCATGTTTTTCCGGAGCGTACTCTCTCGCACCCTCCCTCAGCTCCGAACCGCCAGCAGGGCTCTATCTAGCACAGCTCCTAGCCCGGGTTCCCATGCAAGGGCACTCCCATATTCTTTCTTACCCGCCAACTCTCTTGACCCAAAGCCTCGCACGAAAGGACTCACAGAGATTCGGGGGCCGTATTATGCGCCTGTGACACAGACCTACCTGGACGAGCTTCTGAGCGACTGGAGCGAGTACGTAGACGGTATCAAGTTCGCAGGCGGGGCATTCTCCTTAATGCCAGAGGATCGGCTGAGAGGTTTGATCGAAACCGCACATAAACACAGTACGTCTCGTAAGAGGAGGGTATTCTAGTCAACACTGACATCTATGCAGATTGCTATGTGAGCACGGGTGGATTCATCGAGCGCGTTCTCTCCGCCTCCAGCGGGAACAGGGATATCATTTCCAAGTATCTGACCACATGTAAGAACATGGGGTGTGTAGCCTTGGATATCCATCTCCTGTGCGTTAGTTTATTCAGACCAATAATCCTGCAGCTTCGATGTGCTTGAGATCTCTTCTGGCTTTCTGTCGATACCCACGGAAGATTGGGCATCCCTGGTTGAATTCACCGCCGCTCATGGGCTCAAACCTAAGCCTGAGGTTGGCATTCAGTGGGGCGCAGGCGGCGATGCCTCAGTGGAAGAACTTGAGTCTGCGGGGACGCGCGATCCAAAGTGGCTTATTGATCGCGCCAGCACATTTCTTCAAGCTGGAGCATATGTGCGGCGTCATTCACAATCATCGAACATAGCCGCAACTCATTTGTCTCCCTCAGATGATCATGATTGAGAGTGAAGGCATTACAGAGAACGTAAAGGCCTGGCGGACCGACGTCATATCTGCCGTCACCTCGGCCCTGCCACGCGACAAGATCATGTTTGAAGCAGCCGAGCCCGACGTGTTCGCGTACCACATACAGAACCAGGGTGCGCGCGCAAACCTCTTCATTGATCATTCGCAAATCGTGCAGCTTGCTTGTCTTCGCCGTGGTATCTGGGGTACGGGCAGCACCTTCGCCCGTGTTGTGACGTTTGAGGACGTCCCGGAGCATGGCAAAAAATATTAAATATTGGGAAAGATGTAAATGTCGTAGCCCATGATTGTACTTGTATCAACAATTCTTGTGCAGCTACTTACTTACTTTAATAATGAGCTCATCTCAACAAATAAATCTTTGGCATACGGCACCCCGGGAAGATTGAAAAGATGATGTACTACTTACACCCACAAGTGAGAAAGAGCCTAGTACAACCGGTAGCACTTATCGTAGTGCCTCAGAACTGTTTCAGTTCATGACATGACTCCCCTTAAAGTCCTGCTGCTGCCCTCAGCTTGATATAATCTGGCGTACCGAGGCCAGTTATCTAGCGACAATACATGATGATCAGGCCATATGCACAGCATACGAACAAAAGAACGCACAGGATCCCATCCAGCCGTCGCGTTGAATCCAGTTGTATTGCACCCAGGATTGCTGCCAGTGGTGATGTCGTTGAATGCAGACGCCGCGCTGGAGTATAGCCACGGATTCAGGAACCCCAGGCTCGGTTCACCCGCGGCAACGAGCTCGTCGTTAAGCAGTGCGATCACAGAGGCGAAAGTTGGAGTAGAACAACTTGTTCCAGCAGCGCTGTAGAAGTCTTGCTCGTAGACAATTTCAAAATTCAGTCCTTGGGCGGAAACGTCCGGGAACCCTCGTCCGGAGGCATTGTATAGGCCGCTGTACGTATCGCCAAGGTGAGACAGGTAAGTGGACACGGCAGATTTCTGGTATGAGGGAGTCGCCCAAAAATTGGAGAAGCCACCTGAGGAGAAGTAGCCGCCAGTCTCAGGGTTGATCCCCTCGGTTGCACCAACAGCGGTGACACTGTGTCAAATATGAGCGTGCAAATGAGAGCTGACATAATGATCAGAGACCACATACAATGGGCATGTCGCTGGAAAAACGGGGACAAAGGTATCGCAAGTGCCCGCTTGCCAACCTGAGACTCCACCATCGCCTGAAGCGAATAGGATGGACACACCACGAGCACCAAGCTGAGCATATGCGTTACACAGATTACTGAACAAAAAGGTAAGTAGCGGCCAATTATATCGGAGAACTTAATGAACCCACTCGGCAAAACTGAAGGGAAGTTCGTCCTCGTTTCCCGCATAGCTCGTTGTCAAAACTTGCGGCGGTGAATCCTGGGAGAGTAAATAGTTGATGACATCGAGAAACCCGCCCCAAGCTCCGCCAGAACTTTGTCCCACCGATATGAAAATGGTAGGCACGTCCGTCGCAAGACCCACAGTGTACTGCGTATCTATATTCTTTGAAACGACTCAGAGCTGATCGGTTGTCAAATCGGTTATCAAATCAGAAACATACAGCTTCACCACCGGCATCCGACGCATTCTGTGGATTTATGCCGCCGTCAACGGATTCGAACGAGAACGTCGTGGAATTCGACATATCAGGACGATATGTGCCCAGGAATGTCTGTGGACTAGTAAGTATCCGTAGCATCTAATTTGGCAAAGTATGTTCACTTGGAGATCGGCCTGATTAGCATATTCGTCGAAGAACCCAGTGACGCCGAACTGATTTGAGGATTGAGTCGCGGGTGTGGTCGGGATGCTGTAGAGCGATTGTAGACAGGAAGGAATAATTGCTTCTGCGCAGGAAGCAGCTACGAGCGTCTTGCTGGCCTCGGCACGCCGAGGAATGGCTGGCCTCAAACTCAGTGAGATCATGGAGTTGAACTCCGGGAAGCTTAGAGATGCAGATATAACAGGTCAGAGTCGTGAAAAACCAATGACTATAGGTGGACTCACGTAGTAGTGGGATAAACAAGTGTCATGTGTCCAACAAGTTCTTCGGGAATGGTATATGACAATGTGCGTATTGTCTGCAGTCCTGTGCGTGTGTGATTGTAAACGCCGAACTCTGCGTCGAAGAGGTCGTTCGCCCTAGAGACACTGACGTTTATTCCCAGCCAGTCACCTGCCGGTGTAAGCGTCGCCGCATGTATATTTTGTGCCTGCAGCCATGAATTGACAGCAGAGAGGGTGTCCGCTGACGGAGAGACAAATCGTGCGGCCTAGAGGATATGGATATCAACACTGAACAAGCAATCCGGATCAACACACATACCTCAGCCTTGTCGAGATACTTCTTATAGGCAAGACTGGAGGGCATGCTCACGTTGTACAGTGCCTCTTCCAGTCCGGCTGGATTGCTCTGGGTGAGTGCAAGGCGGAAGCTCAGGACCGTGTTGGTGGGTGCAACCCCAACCAGCGTAAAATCAGCGGGAGGTCCATTTGCTCGTCTATGCACATGTGCTGCACTCCGTACAGTCGATCCACTCGTGAGGAGAGGGGCCAGTAGAGCCAACGCAGTAAATACACTGGGCGTCATCTGGCTGATAAGGAGGATCGAATTGTAGGCAACCATGCAGGGGGAAGGGTCATTATGTAGAAATCAAATGCTACGGCATTGATGACAGGATACGATGAAAGCGGATAATGGCACACACCGGTGAGAAGATACGCTGCATGGCTACGCTGGTACTTCCCAGTCCGGCCATGAAATGCATCTGCACGCGAGGCAAGCAGCATGACCTGGCGTTGGGAGACGCGTTGATTGCAATACGAGCCGATCGCGAGTCAGCTAGTAATATGGTCACATCTGAGATGGCACCAGCGCACGGGGATCAAGCATTTCCGGATGTCATTTAAGGGAGATTTGTTCGCAATGTGACTCTTTCCTCCGCGATTGGTCGGTCCGGTATAATTCGCTACAATATTATGAAGTTAGTAGTTGCAACTTGAAGTATACGTAGTAGTCAAGCCCGGTGCATGATGCAGCAGTTCTCCGCTCGCATTAATATTCACCTTAGGGAACCAAAAAAAAAACACATTTCGCAGGGTATTCTGGAGTCTGTCCTAAGTCACAGTAAGGATGAACCCAAGAGTCGTCGTGTACCAGGTTCGAACGAGTCGGTCTGGACAGTAAACTTGAACATCACATCACGATAATAAGCGCCCCAGTTCATTTGTCTGACTTTGTGGGACTAGGCGCTAGAGAACTTCAGATTGATGCCACCTGCATAACTGCTGCTACGGTGCAGGCCACTGAATTACCGCTACTTTCAAGCAACTTTTCGGGAACCTTACTAAAATTCGTATTCCTGCTATCATAGCCGCGCCGGACATTGTACTAGACAGTGAACAAGGCTCCACTCGGATGTAATGTTGCTTCTCACCGAGCTCGTTCCGTGACTTTGATTCTCAGCGAAATATGTATGCTTCCACCTTGCAGTACCTGACGATGAATAGCATGCTATGTCAGATCGCTACAGCCTCTCAAGAGTGGTGCACATTTGCGAGACACTTTCTGACACCGCTATGAACGACCTCTGGAGACACTTTCCTCATTTGCTATCTCTGTTCAAGCTCGTCGGGCGCAGTGCTCGTGCAAGATTAGGATCAGTTCAGCAAACACTACTGGCACACATGGTCAGGCATTTGTAAGAATTTTGCTGACAATGCCAGACATCTGGAGAGGCTCATAGTCATTACCAGATTCTCTCCGGGCCAAGTACGAATAGTGAGCAGCTTGGGTTTCAATACTATGCTCACAAGGTCCGCACCTTGTGCATGGCAAGAAGGAGCGATTGGACCGGATGCAAGTAGTCCCGATCAATTCCTCCGTCTTCTTGCTGACTCAATCCCGTTCCGGTAAGAAATCACTGTCACCTGCGGTTTTCGAAATATAGCGAAGATGTCTTGCTCCCAGATTCTCGATCTTTCATTCTTGTCGCAGATTTTGCTTAAATCCATGCCGACGAAGCTTTTTAACTGCCCTTCCGTCGGATGAATGAGCTGCACGACAACACTACAAGTTTTATCCATTCTCCATTTGAAGTCTCTGCGTCTTCGAAGTCTGCGAATTAAAACCATATCTTATTATTTCCCTGAGAGGGGGTTGGAACACGGTCGCGGTCCTCAGCCGTTCAACATAATCTCACAGAAGGTACGTGTTCATATTGAATCCGAATTGTAGGTCGGATCAGTTGTACACCAATCATGAGATGTACGTTTTTTGATCTACAGTAGAATACAACAACTGAATGAGATGCAAGTCCATCATCCTTACATGAGGGTAAATACGATCGTAATGTATATAGTGCAGTAATACCAAATGCCGCCAGAAGTTAGTCAGCGTAGCAAGTAAGTTAGTACGTGTATTCCAAAGAGAGGCTGGAATGATGCATGGTGAGGGTATACGAGAACAACATTCAATATTGGGCTCTGGATGAAATACGACAAGAGCGATGAAAAGTGATGAAGAATTCATCGTGATGGGCCTTCTACTTTGGCATCTGCAGGGCATTCATGAGAGCTTCGACGCCCCTCATGCCCAACCCCCCCTTAGGATAACAAATGTACATCTGGTAGCAATTAAGCTAAATTCGTCACATCCGATAATAGATGTTTACGTACCGGCTGCTGCTGGATTCCAAATTTTGACCTGAAGTCACCTTTTCCCGACAGACTGAAGTGCGACGACAGCCCGTTATATGTCTTCTCCAGTGTACGCACACGGAAACCACCAACATTCTCGACCCGTTGTAGGCGATCCGTCGCGCCAGCCCCGAATGTCGCGCACCGGACACCTGCATCGCCTAACTTCTTGATGACATATGTCAAAATGTACTCGATGGCGCCGAGAGGTGCACCAGGGAACTCGAGCGCCCATTTGATTTGGAATCCATGCGTCGCCGATAGTTGAGCCAATACCACCATCGCGCAGGGCTTGACGAATGCACAACAATTAATTTTGACTGATCCGAAGAATGACGATGGAAACTTTACCTTGCCATTTTTGTCAATCGCATAGAAATACTTGCGATGCTTCATGTCATCAAATGGCCGTACACCGGTCAAATGGATTTGGGATCCCCTCCTGTTCTTTTCCCATTCATTACACCGCTGTTCCAGTGACTTCTTCACCTTTGGTTCCATCTCCCCTTCTACCTCGACAATCTTCACTCCATCTCGCTCTGCACGATGTACCTTCCGTCGCACAGTCTTATCGTTCGCTGCAGGATCCACTTCAATCGGGTTCAGCCGCTCCTCGGCAACAGCAATGATCGCACTCCATCCCAAATCCTCTGCGAGCACACGCTCCGCCTCGCGGTCGATGCAGCACCATACGGGCTTAAGCTTCTGCTTCTCAAGATACTTCAAATATCCTTTGATGACACCTGGCATCTGCCTCTGCTCGCACAACGGATTTCCGAAAGTTACCGCGAAGCCGTTCTGTTCCAAATAACCCACAGCACTGCCCGTCATTGGATCACGCCACACTGTCCATGCAGGATCAATCCATGACGTGTTTGTCGAGTCGCCGTAATGCGCGATGAGCTGTCAAACGTATCATTTATGAGCTACATCGAAAGGATCGGGTGCATATGTTACACACATTTTCCAAAGGGGGCATTTCGCCATGTGGATATCCTTCTTGGAACGTCTTCGACTCAGGTCCGTGTAAAATCATATGTGTCGCGGCGGCCATTGAAGCTTCAGCTAGATCCTGCCCTGTCTTGAGAAAACTACGCGGATCGCGAGGGGTCAGACTGGCATAACGTATGTCCCCGAGTTGTAGGAAAAGCATGACCACACGCTCAAGACCGACCCCGCCTCCTCCATGCTTAATAAAATCGAAGGCCGTCAGAAACGACCATGCAATATAAGGAGCACACGCACCGGCGGACAACCCCATCTAAAACCATCGACGTAGTCCTTCATTGAGTCTGTTTCAATTCCAGCTATTCGCATCCGCTCTTCAAGCATTTGCGCCACATGTATTCGCTGACCACCGGACAGGATTTCTTCTCCTCGTAGAAAAATATCGAAGGAGTTTGCCAAACGCTGGCATGATGTGAAGTAAGTCAGAAGCGTGATAACCCAATTTGACACCTACGTTATCTTCAGGATCCGGCATGGTATAGAACGGTCTTATTACTAAAGGAAACTTATCTAAGAAGTGCATGGGGAGTCATATCCTGATCAGTGATATAGCAACCCGTTCAAATACTCACCTAGTATATAGTAGTCCGCGCCGTACGTTTCTTTCACAAGCTGCCCTAGGCGTTGCTCCGCCTTTGTACTCAAGTCATCCCATTCACTCAGTTCAGACCCATCTTCATCGCGCCATCCACTCTCTTTGAGCATTTTGATGCCATCGGTAAAGTTGATTCGTGGCGTTTGATCCAAAATGACAAGGTCGTCGTGAGGAAAATGCAACTTCACCTCTTCGATCTACATACCGTAATCCCACCACGTAGAGCGATCAATATTCACAAGCATAGAAAACTGTATGGGGAACCAACCTCGACGCTATATCGCTCTTGTAATCCGCGAAATATATGGATGAACATCCGATCAATAGTATCCAATATTTCATGATAATGAGAGTCAATTTGCATCTCTAGGTCCAGACCCGTAAATTCGGTCAGATGCCGATGGGTATTCGAATTCTCGGCCCTGAAAACTAGAGTTCATAACAGCAACCTATCAGCAACTGGAACCCAAGGGCAGAAATTAAGAAATGTGAGCGGAGTGACGCACCGGGACCAATCTCGAAGACACGCTCCATATCAGCAGCGATGCACATTTGTTTTGCAAGTTGTGGACTCTGCGCTAGGAAGGCTGGTCGTCGGAAGTAATCAACCTTGAAAACCTGTGCGCCTGATTCCGTATTACTTTCCTGAAACTTGCTCGATTGGATTTCTAAGAATCTTTCATCGATTAGAAACTCGCGGAATAATGCGCATATGCCCGCGCGGATTCGAAAAATTGCTTGGTTCACAGGTGACTGTGTACAATGTCAATAATGAGCCGAGTCAAATCAAGAAATTAAACGCACGCGAAGATCAAGCACACGATTAGTGAATCGAGTTTTCTGATTCACCCGCGAAAACTGCACGCCTTCCTGCACGCGTAAAACATCAGCTGGAGCTCTTCTGTGACTAAGACACAACATACGCACGCGATGATGCTGTTCTTCTGACCTTGCGACGTTCTCAACTTGGAATGGCAGCAGTGATGTTGGTCCCACGACTACGAACAGCTTTTCTCATTCGTCAGTACCAAGATCTAGTCAAAAGGTACACACAATGTACCTTCTCTATCTTAACCTCATGATTGTGCACTCGAGTGCTGTGCACCTCTTCGTGACCACCCTGTGGCCGCTGAATTACACCATTCACAAGCGCAATGGATTCTCTATTCAGACCTTCCGCCCACCGAACCATGTTTTGTGACACTTTTTCGGGCTCTTCGGTAAGAACCCCTTGTAATGTAGTCAATTGACTCCGAAAAACGATGAATACGATCTTGGTGCCTGCATATATGCGTAAGGAGTGCGTTGTGTACATTGGCTAGAAGTAGGGACAATACTTGCCTAGCGGTCGGATGTGATGTATGCGAGCTCGAAAAGTAACATGTTCGCCTTCTTGCTTCTCCGCAACAGATATCAGAGAGGCTAGATGTAGATCTGTACAAATCTCAAAACTGCAATCCATCCAGACGCATAAACCCACGCACCCTCCGATGATTGAGACATGCTTAGAGGTAAATCCCCATAGTTGTCACGTAACGGGTCCTAAATTTGGCTAAGTAAGCGAAGATTCAAGAAATTACGACCACAAGCCTCATCATGTATGCGTCTCCGTGCCTCACAGCGAGCATTCTTCTCCTCCTGGTCCTTCTCTTCGCGCTCCTGCTGCCGCTGTATTCTCTGCTCGGTGAAGGACAGCCGTCTACCCTGCGAGTCTGTGGAACTATAGGACCTTGGTGAGTCGTTGAGTTGGCGGATCTGTTGCTTCTGCGCTGCCGTATCGTCTTCAGCATTCGTGGCGTCAACGTCCGCGCGTGCAGCGTCACCATTGTTAGTCTTTGCGTTGCCGTTGAGTAGCGGGAGAGCGTCACTGTTTCCGAAGGCAGTCGGTAGGGGGGATTTACTCTCATTGGATGACTTGGACGACTTGGACGACATTGACGTCCGCGCGCGGTAGATAGCCTTCTTGATACCAGACATGCAGGGCATGCAGGAGAGTAAGGAGGATTATAGATCGGATGAGTAAAAAAATACGACGACAGCGCAAGGGAAGATTATAAACAGCAGGGACGGGGGCGACGAGCGCAACCGGCTCATTTTCGATCGTTTTCTGCGATTGCTTGGCGGACGTCATGGTTGGAGACCAGCTCACGCCTACCGCCCTGCACTTGGTCCACCGCGTCATTACCCATCCACGTGACCGTTCCCATCTGGCGCTGCGGTTCTGCTCAAGAATTCTGCAGCTTCTGCTCCAGCCTCACGATTCCGTCGCTCCCAACACATAGATGCCAGTGGCTCACTGCGGCAAATACCTCCTTCCGTCATTGCTCTCCTGTATCAAAAGCTCCCCGACTCGTCCCGACTGATTTCTCAAGATCCCGCGAGGATGATAAATCCACGCTCGGGGCCGAGCGGCGCTGCTCGGGAAATGATCAAGAGAACCAGCTGATGCGCCTGCCGAGCCAACCACCCAAGTCGGCCGCGTCTATCCCGCCATGAACGCCAGGGGAACCTGAAGTGTGTCACGTCTACGACAGGAGCTTTCCGATGCCTCTGAGGAGGAAGATGAGCATTGAGCATTGAAACTTAGTTCATGTCTGATTTCTTGACATGATATTGCATTGGGTGAATCATTGATTATCCCCTTCAATGAGAGATCCAGGCGGCATATTAGAGCGAATCCTCTTGCTTGGGGTCTTGTACGCTTACAAACCAGCCCCGACTACGCTTGAGCGAATATTTTATGTTAAGTACATGGTTCACGACGCAAGAACGACGAAGGACTACGTGCCTTGCCTTACCTGATCGCATTTCGTCGGTGCTTATGCTTATAGACTCGACAGTCGAGTGAACTGATACTAAGGTTAGGGCTTCTGTACGTCATCTCGTGTCGCTTATGTCAATCGCGCGTATCTATCACGTGATCCTGCTCGCAGAAATTGCATCGAAACTGTAATGTTGGACGCTGACGTCGTTGGGCAAGAGGCGAGCCCCGACGAAGGCGAATGTCGAGTCGTTCCCACCTGGTCTCTGGGCTCACGGAAGGACTTATCATCAACGGTGCAGATGGTGTTTCGGTATGTTTATCCTCTTCATCATTATGATGCTTCACTCGCTGAGTTATAGGATTCGACGTCCTGCTAAGTGTCACCATTATGATGTCGCCAGGTTCGAGCATTCTATTTCATTTGTTGAAGGCCTTTCATGTCATTACATCAGAGCTTGTATCATCACTGTGGATTAACGACCTGAACAATTGCTGGTAGCTCGCTGAACGGCTACGCGCACCTGTCCTAATGCGTACCCAGCGCATTTGCACATATCTAAGACTACAGCCTTTCGGCAGCAAGCTGTCAATATATTGAGCATCATCAAGGTGCATGGGCATAGAACAACTGCACCACGCGTGTTGTTTTCAGAAAGACTTGGCGCCGGAATGTGTGTAGGAAGTTCTCACAGCTGCCGCATCGGCATGGATGCTTCAGGGAGGATTGCGATTGTAATCGCGATGTCTATTATTTGAGTAACTTGTCTTTGCAGATTGTAATGTCTCAGTTGCTCATGCGATATGGGGTGAAAATTAATTTCCAATTTCACTAGGCCACTCAACATAGTACAAGCATGTTCACTTTTTTCCTCGATTATCTTGTCCTTGGTGAGAATGCGAATCAAAGAAACCTCTACCTCTTCCCGTTCTTACCCTCCTTCTCGCGTAGTATTGGATGATACCCGTCCACCACATGCATGGGGAGAGTGCCACGCGTTATAGATTCCGCACGCGCTACTTAAGTAGCGCAGTTTGCGGAAGAAGTGGGTAAGTATGGGTTTGCCGACGGCCAACCATACTCTACCTCGGTCCCTGATCCAATGCCTGGCGATGCCGTCCCGGAGTCAGTAGCCGTGTGAGTCACATTGTGCTTTGATTCATGAGCCCGTTCATGTGCATTCTTCTTCTTATAGATCAGTCAGCACCTGCCATCCCCTTACGATCCCGCGCCCGCATCAAAGCCATGTGCCACAATATCCCTCCTAAGCTAGATCCTATATGTCTTTACGGAAGAGTTTCTTGAGCCCTCTACCGAAGGGTTTCGAGGCTAATCAGGTTTTGCTCCTTGTGCACTGAACGCTACATGTGTGTCTCCGCTTATCGCGGGTATTCAGCATGTGCATGCTCCCCTTCCAGTACTGTCTAGCTTCCGGGCTTCATAACCACTATATAATGGGATATCCCCTCTGTCCAGACTTTTCAAGGAGTGTGCTCCTTGCGTTGGTCTCCGGGTCGTGACAGGATGTTGACACTAGCTCTTCTCGTCTCGCTCCTCCCTCTCGTGCTATGCAAGCCTGCTGCCCGGACCATGCATGTTCTGGGTCGTAGGGACGGTGCCCCCTCCGGATATACCTTGGATGGTGCTGCCTCCCCTGACACGGTGCTGAGGCTCCGTCTAGCACTCGCCCCAAGCAACCCGAGCGGATTGGAACAGGCGCTCTACGACGTCAGCATGCCTTCGAGCACTGCCTACAAGCAGCATCTGAGCAAGGCTGATGTGCGTCTGTTATTCCCATTAGTTATGATTCAATGTGATTTGTGACAGTCTTTCCCAGGCAGCTCAATACGTGTCGCCTGCATCGGATACGGTCTCTGCCGTGAACTCATGGTTGCAAGAGAATAACCTGAATGCAACGACCCTGACGCCAGCGGGTGACTGGCTTAGTATCCAGGTTCCCGTTAGCCAGGCGAACGAACTATTCGATGCGGAGTTCAACGTATATACTTCTCAAAGCACCGGGGCTCAAACCATCCGAACATTGTCATACTCTATCCCGCAGGAGCTGGTCGGGAACTTGAAAGTGGTATACCCCACTACAACGTAAGTTCGAGATTGCTTTCAGGCTATAATATGAGTTTTGAGGCATACGTTGTAATATAGCTTCCCGAGTACGAACAACTTGAAGCCTGTGGTCTCCATCCCTCAGCGCAGAAATGACGGCGTGAACTCCAGGGCTGACGATGCCGCGTCTGCGTGTGGGTCGACTATCACTCCTGCGTGTCTGCAGTCCCTTTATGGTATCCCGACCACACCTGCGACTGAATCCACCAATCAGTTGCTCGTCACGGGCTACGGCGACCAATGGGCAAACAAGGAGGATCTCGAGGTATTTGCCCTTGTGGATATCTTTCCCGCACTTCCTCATGTTGAATCAATATCAGCTATTCCTACAAAATTATCGCACAGATATGACGGACACCACCACATTTACTGTTCAAACACTCGACGACGGCTCAGACCCTCAGTCAACAGATGATGCAGGTGTGGAGGCTGTGAGTTGCTTCTGCGGTGTGATATCAGCTATCGCTGACGTAGCGTTGTCCGCAGGATCTTGATACCCAGTACACTGTTGGTATCGCCACCGGTGTCCCGGTAATATTCTTATCTGTTGGTGATGACTATCACGATGGTGATCTGGGGGGATTCTTGGACACGATTGACTATCTGTTGAACGAAGATACTCCACCGTATACCATGACAACTAGTTACGGCGGTTATGAGCCCGACATCCCTGAGGATCTGGCATAGTATGTTGTCACTACTCTTTCTCGAGTGCTTATGAACACCGCCAACAGCAATTTGTGCAATGCATATGCTCAACTCGGCGCTCGAGGCGTTTCGATCATGTTTGCCTCGGGTGATGGTGGCGTTTCTGGAGTCCAGTCCGAATCGTGCACCACATTCGTTCCTGAGTTCCCCTCGGGCTGTCCTTAGTGAGCCCTACATCTATATTACCTATTTTTTATGCTAACCTGTTCCCAGTGTGACCTCAGTTGGTGGAACAACGGGTACCAACCCAGAGGTTGCTGCGGCCTTCTCTGGCGGTGGATTCTCTAACTACTGGGCGCGACCTTCATATCAGGATTCTGCGGTAGAGGGCTACCTGTCCTACCTTGGTGATACCTACGCTGGCTTGTACAACGCATCCGGACGTGGCTTCCCAGATGTCTCTGTCCAGGCCGAGAACTTCGAAATCTACTATGAGCAGTCCAGCACTACGGTCAGCGGAACGAGTTGTGCGAGTCCCACATTTGCATCCATCATTTCTCTGTTGAACGACGAGCTCGTTGTCGCGGGAGATGCACCCCTCGGCTTTTTGAACCCTTGGTTGTACTCGACAGCTTTGTCAGCGTTCACGGATATTACCTCTGGCGACAACCCGGGATGCAACACGAACGGATTCTCTGCTACCACCGGCTGGGATCCTGTAAGTAACCTGTGCAGGATTGTGTTGTTATACTCCTCTGACCATCCATTCGTTCCATGTAGGTCACTGGCCTTGGCACACCGAATTACGATGCTCTGAAGACAGCAGCGGGTCTGTAAGTGGTGAATGTAAAGGTAGAAACGAAGTGGGGCTGGTATGTGCATATTTATATAGGGAGTGCGAGTTGACTTGAAGAAATGTATAACGGTGACGAAGCGCGACATGCCGTGAAATGTGCATGCCTTGGGCGGCCCGGTGTAACCATTGCAGTATACCTCCCAACTCCGCCACCCGTGCACTAGCGCCTACCAAGCGCTGACAGTGGAAAATGATGATCGCGCGTTTACCAGCAGTGGTACCAGTACACGCTTGCAATTCACGGGGCCAAATTGATCAGCACACGAAGCACAACAGGACCGTATCTGGTGACCCCCGCTTCGCTCCTTGCCCCAAAAGTCGTGGATTGAGATGAATTGAACGGCCATCATCGAGTTTGAGAGCTGCTCCCGGGGTGGTTTCGGGGTTTGCCCGAATTACCGCTAGGTGCGGGTTCGACACCCAAAGCGGTCGATTGGTGCCGCCCATTCTCAGGAACAGGGCGCCGACCTTGTAATCTTGCCAACTTTGATCCTCGAGCTCGTCGTCATCGCCGCTTTGTTTTGACTTCTGGGAAAGCTTATTAATGAGAAGTGCATTGCATGCGCTAGCTCGCCATTAAATCACACCCTTCATCGTTAGTCTACGCCTATCGAGAAGTATTGTGAGTATGGTCATTTCTATGGTATTCATGCCTTGTGAGGGTGTGGATGAACTAAAGTATGGCTTTGTCATAAACCGACGATCGGCTTTGTACCAGTCCTGTCGTTTCGAACACGCGTTACGCAGTTGTGCGCATTGCACGGGCGTTCTGCGAATGGGGCCTCCTCGTGGCAGCTTCCGCTATCTAAATCCATACAGCGAGCTAACCGCTATCAGTCGTCAGACGACACGTAAATTGGCCGCGAATAAAAGGCTCACGGGACGAGCTACAGGCTTGTTGTATACCGTACGTATCCCACACACTACTTATGGCAGTGTGGTGCTGAGATGGGACTCCAAGTTTTATGAAACGCCGGCGCGCGACAAGTGTCTCACTCTCACACAACAACGCGGCCATAGATATGGCTCATCCGTTCAGTATTGAAGACATACCAGTGGATATTTATCCCCTCATCTTCGAACACTTAACTGATCGACGCGATCTCCACACCTGTGCTCAACTCTGCAGGACCTTCCATCTCGCGGCGACTCCGATTCTCTATCGAGTATTAGACTCGCGTATTGTCAGAAAACCTGGACGGGTGAGGTTCTCCGTCCATGTGCACATTCTACTTTGTTTTCGACCCTTGTTGATTGTTTGTAGCGCCCAATAATCCTCCACCCAGCGCGGACTTTACTCAAAAAGCCTGAATACGCGAAATATGTCAGATATGTACGGGAAACAAGTCCGTCTCCCTTCTACTGTTATCGTTCTACCACTCGTTGACTATTTACAGGTGCCGTGGGTCTAATCGGGCCTGAGTTCCTACAAGAGAGCCTTGCAGCTCTACGCCTATGTGTCAACCTCAAGGGCTTCAGCTGGAGCGATGACAGTAAAGACCTCGTCGACTATGAGGAATTGCGTGCAAGCTTCTTTCCGATTTTACGTGTCCTCCCTATCAAAGAGATTGTCATTCACACATATCCTGGCCTCAGCGAGGAGCTTTGGTCAGAGTTCATCGAGTTTACGGGCTTACAAAAAGTCGCTATATGGACGGTGGAGGGACCGCCACGTATTCTCCAGGGATGGTCTGAGAAGCTCGGTCCGAGTTTGACTCATCTTGAACTGGGTGTCAGTATGGTCCTGCTTCTTCTTTGTTGCGCGTACTGATTCAGATCTATCCATGTTTATTTTGTTGCAGCGCTGTGCGGGCGTACCTGCATCAATTCTCGTCTCAGTCTTCTTGCACCTCCCATTGCTCCAGTCGCTCCGGCTCAAGGGGGCCCCCGCGACAGCAATCCTCGAGATTCTCACCTTTCTCCCAAATTTAGTGCAACTGGACACGGAGTACCTTTGGTCAGGAGTATCTCGCTACACTGACGTACCTATTGCGTCCCTCAGAGATTTGACCGTGCGTACAAGCTCAGTGGATGTGCAGGGCCCACGTCGGTTATGGACATGGATCAAAACGCTACTTCCACGCCCTTCACTAGAATCGTTCACGTTAAACGCATTTTCTACTCAAGGAGATGCAAGCATGCCCCGTCGTTTCATTTTGGACCTCGCTAACACTCAAAAAGATACCCTCAAATACTTCGTTGCGGACTCTGCTCTACTTACGTTAGAAGATGTGCAGTGTCTATGTACGCTCTTTCCTGCATTAGAGGAGCTCTCATGTTCCGTGGCGTTTTGTCAAAACCCCGTATGTTTTGTACCATTTATATCTTGCCGCACGCGGCTGATCGGCAATAAATCCTACAGAGTCAGCTTGAAGAGGCTATTGCCAACGGGCACAAACTACGTCAACTAAGATTATGTACGAGCTGGGTACCATCGCGATATGGCTCGGAGCAAGTACACATCCCATTTGATGCCAAGTTCGCTAAAAGGATAATGTTGCGCGAGAACTCGTTGTTAAGGCTGATTGGGATCGGACAAGTTGTTTATACGGTCAGTCCGGCTTCTCCCCAATTTGAGCGGATAAATGACGATCTTTTCAGGGACGATGGGTTGAAGCTGGGTTGCCGGAAGGTCCAGTGTTCGAAGTATTCCGTGATGTTGTATCAGACTCATGAACGACAGAGTAGGCAAGGAAAAACGGGTACTAAAATATGGCCATGTGTTCGCTCCTCATGATTGTATCATAGCGTAGACATAGTCGTAAACCAGGCTCTGACACACATACACATAAACCAGGACTTGAACATCAGAGAGATGCCACTCACCCAAATCTATACCTCTCGACCCGCTTATACACCTCTGCCCCTTCCTCGAGCACCACGCATAGGACCTCCGCGCATGACCCCACGACCTGTGTGCATAGGAATGAGAATCGAGCATTGACACGATGATGAGTCGTATTTACCTCTGGGGAGCATGCCCCGTCCTGTGTGACAAAGTTCGATGAGCCAAAGCTTATACGACTATACCGATGGTGAACATGCCTCTATTCCCCGCACCGCTGACATGAGCCCCTCTTGCGCTTCTTCCTGCCTCCCTGGCTCGAGTCTGTTCCTCCTTCACAGCATCGAGCAGGGTATCCGGTACCCGTAGGTACTTTATCTGGCCGAGGGGCACAGGCTGTCATCCTCGGTATCAGTCACTCGAAGTAATTCGTACGTACCGTGCTTCCGCGAATATAACACTCTTTCAGCTTCCAGAATCGGTCTCCCTCAGCGGTGGTCTGGTACACTTCTCTTAGCGTGATGTTCATGAAGTTGTCACAATTGACAAGGTGGCCGTTGAAAGTCTCTCCATTCTTCAACTCAACTAACTGCGCGCATAGTCTCCAGGGTTTAGTCGAAGAGTTGCACGGTATCGAGCAAAATGCTCACCATGGGTTTATTCTGCGCCGCATTCAATAGTGACAGAGGTAACTGTTATCATACTGTGAGCAAAGACATAATGAAAGCATATGGTGCAGCATACCATGATAATCACTGATTCTCAACCTGCGCTACTAAGTCTAAGTGCTAGTGTACGATGCTGAAGCGCTGAAGCTTTGAGGCAAGCGTGTTGTGGTCTCGCGGTTGCACGCCGCACCAGGACGCGCGCTTCGAGTTCTCTTCCAGTCGACCACTGGTTCATGGGATTTATTGCGATCATCTCCCGACTACGTGCTATTGCTTCAATTAAATCAAAGCATAAGATTTCAAGGCAGCCATGACCAACATGCCAGTATGGACTACGTCGGGATGGAGACCCGTCGGACATGGTTTATTAGAGTTTGCATGTCGATGATTAGTAACTGTTATCTCTGCCCAACCCCCCCCCACCCAGAATCTAAAGGTCTCATATACCGCTCAACGACCAAGATTTGCTGAGCAGAAGCACCACCAAGTCCACCAGTCCACCATGTCCCAGCCTACCCTTGCCGTTGTCGCAGCCGGAGCGATGGGTGCTGCAGTAGCACGCCGCTTCACCACTGCTGGCTGCACCGTACTCACCATCCTAGACGGCCGCTCTGCGGCCACAAGGGCACGGGCAGCAGCCGCGGGCATGCAAGACGTATCCATGCGCGAACTCGTTACGCGATCGCAGTGGGTTCTCAGCATTCTCCCTCCGAGCGATGCGCTCGCGTTCGCCACTAGCTACCGCGACGCACGCGTTGCCTCCGTCAGAAAAGGAAGCACATCACCCTCCCGAGTCGCATTCGCTGATTGCAACGCAGTCAGTCCGGAGACGGTCAAGCAGATCGCAAAGCTGTTCACGGATAGTCCGATCGGCTTCGTTGACGCAGGGATTATCGGTGGCCCACCGAGGGATGGGTACGATCCAGTATTCTACGCATCTGCTGAGCCAGAAGCTTCCGATCTGTTGGATGAGTTTGTGGGCCTGAGCAAGTGGGGGATAAAAGTGTCGCCACTGAGAGGCGAGGGGGCCGGAGTAGGTGATGCCAGCGCGCTGAAGATGTCTTATGCAGTGAGTATAGTTAGGTCTCTAATAACGTTATTGCGAGAGCTTACGGTACCCGTACGTAGGGGATATCGAAGGGGATTACAGGGTTGTGTGCAACCATGATACTCGGTGTGTTCACTCTTATTATTTGATAATCAAGGTACTCATTCAATATCTCTCGCGACAGCGGCTCATTCCTCTTCGCCTGCAACTGCACAGGCGCTTCTGCACGAATTGCATACATCACAGCCCTTGATTTTGCAGCGTCTCGCGCGTGGCATACCGGACATGCTGCCGAAGGCTTACCGCTGGGTTGGCGAAATGGAAGAGATATCCGCATTTGTGGGAGATGGTGAGGGTCAAATCCACCAGGGTCTCGCGCGGCTGTATGAGCGAATAGAACGTTCTCTCAAGGAAAGAGAAAACGGAGCCGGCGGCGAAGATGTGGATGTACTGAAAAGTTTTGTCGACGATGCGAAGAAGGTTATTGAGGGGTCCAAGTGATTATCGACGAGATATGGATAATAGTCAGCCATATAGGAAGGCGAATCTCGCCATGTGGTCTCGACACCTCATACGTACAGATCGAGCGGGTCGTAAAATGGAATGAAGTAGATATGAAGTGTATAAACTAGGTATTTGTGGTCGACATTTTCTTTTCCATTAAGATGGAAAATCTCGAAGGTGATATTAAAGTATGGAGACATTGCAGTGTGTCAATGTGTTAAGAATTTTATTTAGTTCAATTTGAGACGAACTCCCTAAACATCCTGAGGGATGATCAGAAGGCTGGAAATTTTTCCTCGACAGGGTTGTAGCTCTGAAGAATTAGAAGCTAGAGGATAACGCACATCGGCAGCAGTGCACATCACGTTGCACATAAAAAGACTTTGGCAGATGAAGGCCAAGGCCACTTCGAGCATTCCAGTGATTGATGCTGGGAATATTGCCATGGCAAGAGGCCATCCAGAAGATTTATGAGCTCATTCGGGTGAGAACTCGTCCCCACTTTGTATACCCAATTTGCAAACAAGGCTCGAAAGTCATAGAACAACTTGCGAAAGTAGATGCCCCTGGCCCGAGAGCAAGTGTCACGAATAGCGGCTATTTGCCGTAGAAGGCCGGCGGAGATGCATCGAAGGGTTCCCGAGTAATTGATCCAGGCGCCTTCTGCCTGCACTTGCCAGAACAGATTCCACGTGGTGATAATGGCAAGGCAGAGTGTCCAAGATAGAAGCCGCCATGAAAGCGCAATCTGAGCGCGCTCAGGAGCAACTCATGTCCTGAGCCACTAGGGAAACAAGGCGGAAATCAGGAGCCATTGCGTAGAAGGTGAAGGCTCAGCACTCTCAAGATTCATCGCTTGGGAAAATAAAGATGGAATCCCGGAGCAGAACACCAGTGGTACCACTGTAAAAATAAGCGTCGCAGTGGGAGTTTGCCGGTCGGAGAATGAGAGCCAAGACATACTTTGCTGTCAAATATGAGATTTATTCACTGGCTTGGACCGTTTTTAGAGAGGTGGTGCAATACTCTATGGGAACATTCGGGTGCTGCAGCTGGCGGAGAAAGGGCGATCAGCATATCATGAACATGACGAATAAGACCGCGTGAACTTACGACAACATCAATATCAGTACACACAAGTCTTTGCCTCTTCGGACAAGTAACACGCTTTTAGGCAGCTGCCAGCATGTCGGACATCAGCAACTCAGCCATTCAACTGATTGTAACGAAGGAAAGCTCCTGAACAACCAGACAGGCAAAGACAGATGGGCCACTGCATGTTGATGTTGACCAGCAAAACTGGGATAGTGGATTGAGCCTTGTAGGACTTCCCCCGGAAGACTCCGACATTGAGTCGCCGCCACTGCGTCGCGTACACACGTGACGGACACGTCTGTGGCTCGGGCCGCCACCAACAGTAGCTTGCGCGTAGTGTCTGTCGCTCCGAGTCCCATCATCATCGTCTGGCTGCCCTTCATGATACGTGCATACTCGTCCCTCGAACTAGTCATGCTGAATCATATACCGCGCAGATAAAGCGTAGCATTCTTTCGCGACAGAATTTCCGGTTGATAGGGGGAGGAATCATTCCAGTCAGCGTCTGCTGCCGGGTCTCGGTGTATCCGTACCTACCTTTTTCCCACTGAATCTCAATTCATGCAGAGGTCCTTCCAACTGGCGCCGCAGTGCCTATTGTAGTCCATCATTAGGTCCGTGTCCTTCTGGCATCTGTCGTATTCAAAGTGTGGCCCACATCTCTCCCTCGGGTGGTAAGGCTGTCTCGTCTTCCTACCATCATGGCCGTTCTGACTATTGATCCTCCCGACCCGCTCAGTCTCGCTCTCTCGCCTCCAAAGGATGAATCGCCTGCTGAACGCTGGGCCCGCGAACAACGAGAAGCCCACGCACGTCTTATCAGCGAACAGATCGACGCTCAGATCAAGGCTGAAAAGCAGAGTAAGAAGAAAAATGGAAAGCCAATCAAGATACTCCTCCTCGGTCAAAGCGAGAGCGGAAAATCAACCACTGTCAAAAGTTCGTCTGCTTTCCACGTCAGATTTGAGCATTCCGAATCATACAGAATGGCTGATTGGGGTAGGCCTTCTTCCAGCTCCAGGGAGAGGGGAACCCTGTCTCTGGCGCTGGAAGAATGTCTATGTTCCAGGTTACTCGGCCATCTTATTTTTCTCCATGATGTGTTCATCTGCACCTCGGTGCTACTCGTCCTACGCCCCATATTCACTCTTGCCCTTGAATAGACTTCCAACTTGCTTACGCGTATTCATCATTCCGCGAAGAGCGATCCGCCTGGAGAGCTGTCATACACCTCAACTTGGTTCGTTCTGTGAACACAGTGTTAGATATCCTCGCCGAAGAAACATCCCGGACCCGGTCGCGCTCACAATCACAATCACCTCAACCTCTTTCTCCACGCCCAAGTCCACGCCCGTCAACTTCTCAGGGACGTCCAAGTACATCTTCAACGCAGAAGACATCCTCTACCGGACGAACCCTTCTCCTCCCCCGCCCATCTACCGCCCACGCCGATACGTTGCCCACATTCCTCAGGACACAGTCGATGACCGTAGAATCGAGTGCCGACTCTGATAATGATGCGGATGATGATGATGGCGATACGCCTGTCGCTTTTCCACTCACTGAGCGACACAAGGTCCTTCAGCTCCGTCTGACACCATTACGGTATGTGCAGCGGGATCTTGAGCGCAGTCTAGGCTCTGCTTCGACGGAGGCGCCCGAGGGCGCCGGTGATGCTGCACCGTGGTTGCGCCAAGAGGAAAGCCTCGGTCATCGTCCGCGGGAATTCTTCGTTACGAGTAGAAGCGGATGGAAGGCTGCCTTGAGACGCGTGAAGTCTGGCTATCGAAGGGCATCACTGGGCTCTAGGGATGAAGCGCGTGTAGAAACTGCAGAGGAGACAGCTTTGTCCAAGAAGGTTTGTGCGGGATTATTCCGTGTATGTGCGACCGCTGAAAGGGACTTATGAATATTTTTGTTACCAGCTTCATAGCAGACGGCGGAGCCGTCCAACATCTCCATTCGGTATGTCAATGCAGGCAGAAGATGAAGAGGCGCAGAATGACGGGGAGGGAGAACCTCAAGCCCAGAGCGCGGCGGAAGTCATCGCATCTTGTGCAGAAGATATTGCTGCACTATGGGCAGATGCGGACGTGCAGGCCATTCTTGCCCATCGTAATTCGAAAACACGCCTCGAGGAAGGCCCAGGTTTGTGAGTAACTGCATATACTTCCAAAGTAGCAACTGGTGATTTAAATCTGGCCGGCTAACCTTGCAGCTTTCTCAATGACGTAGCTCGTGTGGCAGCGCGTGACTATGAACCTTCGGACCAGGATGTGGTGAGAGCACGTCTGCGCACAATGGGTGTGCAGGAGTATCGCTTTAGATTCGAACGTGGTGCGTATCACATTTTTGCTGTTGGCGAGCGGTGATTGACTCCGCGATTTGCAGGTTCCGAGGCAGGACGCGAGTGGATTATTTACGACGTCGGCGGTGCGCGCTCTTCTGTGTGTAGCGCTATCTGTGCATGTTCCGTAGATTCACCGTTGCTGACTGATCTTACCCATTCTCAGCGCCATGCGTGGTTTCCATACTTTGACGACATGAACGCCCTCATCTTCCTGGCTCCAATCAGTTGCTTCGATGAACGACTGGCCGAGGATCGTCGGGTCAACCGCCTTCAGGACAGCTTTCTCATCTGGAAGGCCATATGCGGATCGAAACTCCTACAGCATGTACACTTTATTCTGGTAATGTGCCTGCTTCCCACCATCGCGCTGCCATCAATCATTGTTCACATTTTGTGGCGCATTCCTGGGAATAGTTCTTGAACAAGTGCGATTTGTTGCAGAAGAAGGTATCTCGTGGCGTCCAAGTCGTGAAGTATATCCCAAGCTACGGAACCCGGCCGAATGAATCGGCTAGTGTGGCACGATGTCAGCGTTTCCTATGTATAGCGAGGATCATCGTTTTAACCGAGTCCATGGAATTACCTGGATTTTAAGATTTCAGCAGTCAGTTCAAAGACATTTTCGTGAAGCAATCTCCTCAGTCGAAACCGTTCTACTCATATATGACGTCTGTGGTGGTATGTCGCGTTGATTTTCTGTACAGTTCTTAGTCTTCATGAACAACCTAGGACACTAAAGCGACGGCAATCACAGTTGCTGCAGGTGTGTCTCCTTTCCACTTCTTTTCTTTAGAAACTCATGGTACAATCAGTGCGAGACGGAATTCAAAGGAACAATATGAAGGAGGCGGAGATTATGTAACAATTGATGTGACACTAAGTTACACGTTGACCATTGTGCGTTGATGTCTACTCGTTGGATTTGTTATTCTAAATCCACAGTATCATTAGGTTAATTGGCTTCCATGACATTGTCATTAGTTTTTCTCAGACAAATTCCTGCAACGGACATGCCAGATGCATATTTATGGATATGTAGGACTTCATGGAGCGTTCTCGAGGTGTGTTCAAGTGACGCGACACATAATATCATTTCAACTTGTACAATCGACCACTTGTTCTTCGTTTGACGGCATATCGTACTTTATGATCGCCGATGCTGACTTACTGGGACTCAATTCGATCGAACTACACACATCTCTTGGCCCATTCATGCAGAACTATGCTTACCTGATTTTCTACCTGCGTCTGCCTTTGTCCGGTGTCCAAGTCCGCAGAACGCGCGCTCCGTGAAGCACTTCTCGTTTTCGGACCCGGGTCTGGCTCGCGATTGACGAGGCGATTGCTCATATATATTCCATCGAGTGTGAGAATATTGCCTCTCCCCACCTCTGTTGTTCTGCAGTATTCCCTGCTAGACATATGCTGAGTATGGACCCGAGTTTTGCCTCGTTTCAACACGAATGGAAGGCTATGATAACTTTGGACACTGTCAAAGCCTCTCGCCGTTGCGTGTAGTACACGAAGATACGTGAATCTCTTTACGAATACCCTTGCAATCTTACTTCTGCATTTGGCACGATTGTGACTCGCCATGCAGGTTAAGCATGCCAGCCTACGCAGCCGCGATCTACATCACCGAGATGGACAAGCCTGGATCAATCCTTGCTAATAATCCCACGACTCGAGACATAACCTTCTTGGTGGTACGAAATATACATGCTGCATATCACTCTGGCAATCCCCCACTCTGTTCCGTGTCTACAGCTGGGCAAATGGTGCTATGATCACGGGCGGAAGTCTCATCATCTATCAAGAATGGCTAGCTACGATGGGCGCTGGCGGCGTAAAGCAATGCATCAAACCTATCCCGACATTCGAGGACATCGTGACACTACTAAGATGCTACATATGAAATCGCCGCAGTCCAACAATCTTCTCAATGCCGCGGTCAGGCACTCATCGCGAGCTAGTGTGGGGACGGCATTACCAGTCTTGCTGCCACTGCTGTCGGACATGTGGATGTCCTCCGACAGTGGTAGTAGACTGGCTTTGTACTGTCACTTCTATCAGGTGCTCGACTAGCCCCGGAGAGGACCCCGGATGCCAGCCCGAGGCAGTCACGTACAAATGATCGAAAGCAGACATCAAGGACTAGTCCGTTTCCTCACACAGGATTTCATTCAGCTGACCTGTCTGTCCGTTCCCGGGACTTGAGTTATGTAGGTGTCGTTCGCTTGCATTCTTGCTGTGTCAGAGACTGACTCAGGCTGGTGGTATCGGTGAAAGTGGAGCATGATGCGGCGTGGTAAGGAAGTCGCCTCAGAAGTTCATATTACTACAAACCATTGCCTCTTTCTCATGGGATCCCTTCGAATATTGTCTGTGGACCAGTACCAGGAAGACCCGGATAGTGGGTATGACGGGAGGCATCTAGATTGATCGGTCCATTTACATTCTTGTCCAACTTCACTCAGGGCCTAACGTACAAGTCATCACCCTGGTTTCCGATTGAGCGCTGCTGGCCCTACAAATACGGGATGGCCAAAGCCGCTAGTTAGCGAGAACGTAGGTGCTGTCTCTCCCCTCCCTTCTCCCTTCTCTCCCGTCCCCACCCTCGCGAACCCACCATGACCAGGTTCGAGACACCCACCACGTTCAAGCCCGCCCAAGTGGCAGAGATCATGGTCGAGCATGGCATTGTGAAGCACAACACGCGCGGGGACAAGATCTTCCTCAAAGCGGTACGCCGTGTCTCTTTCACTGGCTGTTTCTTCCGAGACTAATGGTAGCACAGGTGCTCGCAGGTGTCATGCTTTCCTTTGGTGGCCTCCTCGACGAGATCATCTCTGGGGGCTCAGCTGGCATCACTGCGAATAATCCTGGACTAGTTAAAGTTTTGGGCGGAGCGGTCTTCCCGGTGGGCCTTATCATGTAAGCTGCGCCTATTCGTCTGTTACGGAATTTGCACTCCGTGCCAGTACGGACATTGAGCGGGGGCTTGGCATTGATGCACGATGTGTTCACGATTCGTTCACTTGGAGGCAGTGACTGATGCTGCTGTTGACTCCTGCAGGATCATTCTGCAAGGCTTTGAGCTGCTGACGAGCAATATGATGGTGAGAAACTTCAATAATAAGCTATTGTGAATTAGCTGACATATCTTGGCGCAGATTTTCCCAATGGCTTGTCTTAAAGGCGCCGTGCCGTGGTGGGGGCTTCCGTGGAACTGGTTCCTAGGCATGTCTGCCGTCATTTCCACGCGCTATCCCCTGACGAATTGGACTCTAGTGACCTTTGGGAACCTGTGTGGCAGTCTATTCTTCGCCGCGGTGCTGACCAAGTGTGAGTTATTTACAGCAATGGTTGAGTGGGATTATCGCTTACCTCGGCCGACCACGCTCGCAGATAGCGGTATCATTTCCACCGAACCCTACATTTCATATGCTCAGGACTTCGCTCTGTGGGTTCTTCCTTGAATCATCCGTTAACGTGATCCTGATTATAGCCTGTGTAAACAGCAAGAAGGCACAAGAGCCGGAATGGTACCAGATCTTCTTGCGAGGCATTGGCTGTAATTGGCTGGTTTGCGTCGCAGTTTGGGTGAGGATTTCCTGGGGCGTTTTTGAAGATTACATTTGCTGAATACGGGCGATGTTACAGCAAGCAGCAGGAGCGCACGACACACTATCAAAGGTAGGATGAATCTTCATTGAAGACTGTTAGTGCCTAACATATGTCCTAGATCGTCGCAACCTGGATACCAATCATGGTAAGATTTGGCGACACTGAAATCCGAAACACGGGCTCACTCAACTCGTAGATCTTCGTCTCTGCATCGTTCGATCACGGTAGGTTACGTTACATGCAGTCTAGCCATGGTGTCCTCATCACAGTTGAACAGTCATTGCAAACATGTTCTCAGTCCCTCTGGGTATTCTCTTTGGGGCCGATGTATGTATTTCAGGCAACGATTCTGTCTGTACTCGACTGATGTTTGCATAGCTGACTGTTGCGGAATACATCCGGAAGTAAGTGTATTTACTTTTGTGTGCTTTGACAATCAATAATGTTTTATAGATCTTTGATCGCCTCTTACCTCGGGAACATTGTTGGCGCCTTGATCGTCGCACTGCCGGCTACATACCTCTGGCTCGGCGACTACCACGCTGGCGGCCTGCGCGAAGTAGAAGAAGGAGAAACCCTCAACGGAGGCGCAAGGCTCAACGGAGACGGCGACAGCAGCCACGAGACCAAGAATGGGAAGGCAGGAGAGGAGATATTTGAGGTTGCACCTCGGTAGATCGCGATAACATATTTTGAATAAGTCCCCGATGTAATACTGTAATTTTCTCAACTGGCTATGTGAATCGACGTTGCTCATTATTCTTGCAATCATTTTGGAGGACGGTCTGACGCGTGCGTCGTTCCGAAGAGATGTCAATTAGCGCGTCATATTTGAGTTTGGGACCAGCCTTCAGCCAGCTTTAATTAGATGAAAGCTGCATGTCGCTATGTTATGACGGCTGATCTTCCGGCCGACGTCATAAAACGCTTTCGCGGCTGTTTGTCATAACATATTTAATTGGGGGTGATGACGGCGCTCGACATGCCACCTACATGGTTTGCCTCATTGACATCTATAACGATCTGCAGGTGGTGTATGTAAATGTCAAGGATCAAACATGAGCCATTTGGTTAGCTTGACGCTGACGACATTCATCAACATGCGTACGGAACCAATATTTCGTGCCACGTACATGAAGTAAGTACTACTGATCCGTTGTCCTGTACAAAACTTCTTTCGTATTACGGCACATCTTCGAGAAGTTCATGCGTATCTGTCCTTCGCTGCTCCCTGCCCTTGAGGATGCGCTCATAGAGCTTCAGCTGTCGTAAGAAACCGCTATTCGGCCGCACAATCTGTCTTCGGGAAACCACATGTTTGAGAGCATTATCCACGGACATGTGTCTGGCAACCATGAGATAGGCGATCGCAATGCTTGCACTCCGGCTCATTCCCCAAACACAATGCACCATAACCCGGCCCTTATGTTCGAGCGCGTGGGTAATCCAGTCGGCAGTGAAGTCCAGGTGACCAAGGAGCTCCGCATTTCGAGAATCGTCTACAGGGATGTGGATGTGACGCATCTCAACTGGAAAACAGGGGCAGTCGTGTTTGAGCACTGAAGCGATGTGGGTGATGCCAAGTCCACGGACGACAGCGGTAGATGTAGCGGTGTATATGTCGCATACAAAGAGGTCTGGAATAATCTCGCTGGCTTGGGGGTGGAAGTCATCCATGGGTGTTTTCTGGATGCATACGGCTCTGAGTGCTCGCCGCTCAAAATAATCATAGTCGACGGTCAATGAGCGAAGCATTGACAATGGAGAGTCAGCACTGGGTGGCGAAGTAGGACGTGTACAGGTTCTCTAAAGATTGACAGGTAAAGCGGCTACTAGGGGCAGGATGAAACGCCCAAACCTTGCGCGCTATCTGCAAGGCGGCAGCATTCGCCTGTGAGGCAGGAGGCATCTTCTTCATGGTGACGGTAACGGACATCATTCATGTCCACGCCGTTCGCCTCGCCTTGTTATAGGGATTCCCATTTCTTGCCGGCCGCGGATAGTGCGGACGGCTCAGAGCAGTGGCAGAGCGGCTAGCAGCTTTGGGACTCACCGATGAGCGCCTGCTCACGCATTGAGCAGCGGAATATCCACCTACGCCCTCAGATCAGCGTCACTGCAGTCAGAACCTCAATCCATCCGGGCCTGAGGTGGCTGTATTCGGGAGGGATGGGTAGGGGCATGCCCTAAATTCATCCAGCTGCACGACACGGAACTCTCCAAACGATTCCATCTCCACGAATGTGCGTATACCGATCCGCACACCAGCAAAAGCACCCCCCCAGCATCTTGATTATCATCTGCGAAATTATGGCCGCCCCATCTCACACGACGAGACGGTGCAGTTTCAACGCGGTTAGGACTAGCACTGATGGGCGTATATCACTGGTAAATCAGTGTGTGAGCACGGAGACATTATAGCCGCACGTCGCAGGATTGAGCAAATATCTGCGCACCTTCACGAACAGTCAGAAGTGCACCTTTAGAAAGACTTGAGTTTTGTGTAAGCGCAACATTAGTGCGACCGCAAGGGTTCCTTGAGCCTCTCTGGCGCCACAGTGTGTGTTGCAGAGTTCAAGTCAACCTTCGCCACCGCAAGCGTCACATGGCATCGTCATTTTCAACTTTCGGGCTTGACTTGGAGCCCTTCGAGCTGGCTCAATTACTAGCGGGTTCTCTTGGTCAAAATTTGAATCGTGCCCAGTCGACTCACGCTCTCTGCATGTTTCCAGCTGTCCGTATCTGCACCCGGGGTGATCATAGCCTAGTGCAATTTGCCTTCAAGTCTGCGGCGCACGCTGCTCTCGGGATGTTATCGATTGCATGCAGCTTCCTGGCGTGTAAGACGACTGGAGGACAGCCCCACAGTATTCCGCGAATATGACGTCCATGTGCAACGCAAAGGCGGCCCGTCAGCAAGGAACAATACTGGACTCCAAGACAGATCTGCAGGGCGACAATGGGTGAGAGGTTCCAAGATCTTCTCGTGAGCAAACCGCCATTCGGAACATCACATTCCCTGTTTTCAAACACACGGTATAGCAGATCCTGGATGCGCATGGCCCCATTGTGCGTTCCTCCCACTTTCTCCATTGTCAATGTGCTAGGCGAGTAGACGTCCAGAAAGTCGGACATGAACATCACAGGGAGGGGTCCGCGTGGAAGAATTCTCCATCAGGTTAGACGAGGAGTCGTGAAACAGGGGTGTGATAGGTATCGATATCGATGTCGAGGTTGGAGGCTCTCTTTGCCATGTTATCCTCGGGTGAGGACAGAGAGCTATAAAAGCCAGCACCTTCCAAACGATTCAACATTATCCACCCGCAATCTACCGATAACATACCCACCTTGTCTCCCGCTCTGCCCTCACAGCAGCGGCCTGATTTGTTGCGCTCCGCCGTAAGACCAAGTTTACAACTGAATCACCTTCGCTATGGAACCTACGCACGAATACGTATCACCATCTCCAAGTGGTGCGGCCTGTTAGGTGCGACATATCAGTACTTCAATTTACTTTTCATGCCTACACCGTAAATTAACTACTGCAAACACAAGTTCACTCGAGTGCGACGCCGTCCATTTTGATCCCGACTCTTCCTCTCATATGTATTCTGACCAAAACCGCATTCACGGGCATTCGTCTGGATACATACCATGAGAATGGAAGATTCGAGACCAAAACGCGGGGTGTCTCGTTTTCATCTACACGGTAAGGCGACTTTCATCTGCAAAGCGCGATAGGGTTTCCGTGCGCCGCACAGTATTGGTATGTGCACGTACGTGCCAGTTTTTGACAGGTGTGTCCGTATTCTCATGCACTCCGCTAATTCGTGCAGACAAAACTCACCAGGTCATCCTCCAGATTACTTTTTATTCCACGTCGTCGAATATCGGTCATGCAGTGCCACGTCTTCGCGGCAGCTCTCGTCGCTGCCCCTCCTTTTGCTTTTGCTGACGCTGTAGGTCTCGCGCGCAAGCTTTATGGCGAGAGCAGTATTGAAAGGTCCTCTCGGCGTATAGCTAATACTCCACATATCACACGGGAGATCTCTGGTCTGCGGCAGGTACTAGCGGTGGTCGGATTAGACGTGCAAGTGCGAGTGAAGCAGGTGAATGCGCTGTTCTAGAGAAGGGGTGCTGAAGCATTGCATCGTCAGCTGTTTTCTTTCCTTACGGAGCGAATTGCATACTGTGCGGTTTCGCGAGCATTTGTACGTACAAGCGCCGCGGTCGCACAAGGGACCACTCGTTCCTGGCTGCCATTCTGTATCGCAGCGCCCTTGTACTCACTATGGATGTGTTTTCTCGAGTATTACGCGGGATATTCGAATCTTAGGCAGTCGTTCGCGGAAGATCTACGGCCTCGCCGAGCCTGAGTTAAAGTTTTCGGTTGTACGGCAGCTTGCTGCTATTTGTGGTTTCCTGACGGCTACGCTCTCACACTGAGTACCTCTACACCGAGGCTCTCAAAAATTACTAGCCCCTGCTTCTTGAGCCCAACATTGCATGTGAAGACTGAACAATTATTAACAACCGGCCCTTTCTATGCTCTATGCTTCAACATGTGCTATGCATTGACAGATACATGATGATAGATTTTTAGTGGAGAGGAAAGTTGCTCTCCCTGGTGAGTGGCGTGCATTTGCAGCATTATCTCTGCATTACGCCATACGTTCTCTATACCTCCAGCTTTGCATAAAATTGCTGTCCAAGCTGCCAGCGGTGGCACGGCATGATACAACACATGGAACCGAATCTTTCCTCAGCAAACTCACACGGCAATAAAGTGTTCGATATTCCTTCTTCATCGCATTCTAGCCGGAGTTCGCCCCCCCTCGGTGCGTCAGAACTTGTGCGGAGTCGAATGTGCGGAGCTGTTGAAGCTTCCATTAGTTATCGAGTTATCGGGCGATTCATCCAGGTGCATACAGTTTATCTATCTTGGCGTTCTTATCATATGATAAGACATTTCTGTGTGACGCAGCACAAATTTTGGCATTCACTGCTGAAAGTCTGTCTCTTTTTCTGTCGTCGACACGTTGGGATCTCTAGGGCACATTCGCGGAATAAAATGGACCTCCGCGCGTAACTCCGCGATCAAGAGGTTCAAAAGCCAATTTGCACTTGTCTCGCAATCTCGAGTCAAGATCCAGCAGGTCTTCGCGCATCTGGGTATGTGGTCTGGGCATTCATTAGTGCAAAAAAGGATTGCTGAAGCTAACATGATACATAGGACATGTACGACGATACGAGACATCTGAAGCGGCATGCGTGTGCTGTATGTGATATCTGTCAATCCTCTACCACTCTTCTAGCCATAATCATGGGCTGCTCTTTCCGCTGAGCTCACGCTCAACTTTGACGATGTCCTGGACATGCGGGTGCAACCAGAGCGCCTCAAACACACCAGGCTCTATCGGGGGCAAGGGCTTACGGGGAAGACCACCGTAGCCGTACAGCTTCTCTAAGAGGGCTTTAGTGCCGGAGATGGACGCCTTTGCAATGGTGAAGTCAGCATTTGCAGCGATTGCCTGCAACCGCTGTGCCTCGGGCAGGAGGGAAGGGTCTTTCTGCGCTGCTTGGGAAAGCTCAAAGAGCTTGACAAGGGTATACTACGGTGGCAGTGTCAGCTGTCGGCGAGGAAGACAACGATTGGATTCGGACATACAGGCGCGACGTTTCCGAGACCCGTGATGGCGCCATGTGCGTTCGCATACGATGATGGGACCAAAAAGTCGGCGTAACCTCCCAATACGAGGAAAGGCGCATCGGGGTTTTTACGAGGATACAGCGACGAGAAGGAGGGGTCGGAGACTGTTCCGCAGATTCGGGTGAGCTTACCCACATTTCCGCATCTAAAGAAGATAATGTTCAACGGTGTTTCCCGTTCCACGTACCAAGCCAACTTACGTGAGCTTGACGCCAGCAAGGTTGGGGGACTCGATCGCCAACTCTGTGATGAGGTCCGAGTCGAGGTCAATGCCTCCACTCGCGCCGGGGTCTGCAGATATATGCGTCAAGGTCAAGTTGCGAACACCGACAAAGCAGATGCATACAGTTGTAGATGAGCACCGGAATAGGACTCTTCTCCGCAATCTCCGTCCAGAAAGCCTTCAAGGCCCTCTTATTGCCAGCCAAGACACCAGCGTAGTACCCGCTGGCGATAACGATTGTGTAGTCCGCGCCCGCTGCTGCTGCCTCCTTGCAGAGCTCGACCGTCTCTCGCGTACTGCCCGTCCCGGTGCCAGCGATGATGGGAATCTGCTCGAGGCCCGCTCCGTCAAGTGCCTGGCGTGCAGCCTTGATGATGGTAACCCGCTCGCTGTGGGTGAGGTGGAGGGCCTCGCCCATGGAGCCCGCGATGAGGGGACGGACACCGGCCTTGGCTGCGCGGACAACATGTGTGCGAAGCGAGTCGAGGTCTGTCGGGAAGCAGTCAGCGCAGCACTACAAGAGATCGGGAGAGAAGAGGCGACTGACCCAGATCCTCCGACTCTGGGAGGAAGAAGGTGGGGATGGGAGCGTAGATGCCTGCGGTGAGGGGGCGCGAGACGGGGTGTGCTGCGCCGTTCGTGCCGTTGTGGAAACCGTTTTCTGCAGCAGCCATGGTGGTAGTGGTGATGGCGGCGAGAGGATTTGGGATAGCAGCTCCCCGCCATGGCGGGAGGTTATTAAGGCTGCTCACCAGGATCTCCGGGGTCCGACGGCCCGTCGGACCGGTGCCGAGGTCCGTGCCGCGCAGCCATTTACGGCAGACGGCCCGACAGTCTGCGCAGGTGCGTCCCAGCCAACTCCTCCCACCGTCTGCTCGCGCAGATGGGCCATGATTCTATGCGAATTCTATGCTCACCGACTTTGGTGACGACGGCCCGTCTTGGATCGCACTGCGTAGCGCTGACTTGCTCTCCGACGACATTGACCCACATATACTCCCGTGCATCTGGCGCGAGCACGGCCGCCGACCTCACGTCTAGCATGATCTATGACCCCGCACCCCATGACCCCCGCGCAAAGTCAAGGTTTATTTCCGTGGAGGCCGAAAGCCAGGAATATATTTTACGTGTCACAACCGACATACAAGGGCGCCCGGGTGGCCGGCGCAACGTGTTCGCGTCCTCTGTATACCGGGCACCATAGCGAGACGTAACCAGTACAACGCCAGGGACCGCCAGCCATGCGCAAATGCATTGGTCACACCGATCCAGAGGCAGCGCGTTTTTTGTACATGTGACGACGTCAAGGGACATCTCCCATGAATGACATGTCAGACAGCCATCGTCAAATATTGTACAGCACCATTTCGGATGAGGCGACAGCTTCGGAGACGCTGGACAGATAGACCGGACGGAGAAGATAACGCAATATGTGCTCACCGCCCCAGCTACGGGCCAGGTCAAATCTCTTGTGACGTTACCGATTACCGTCTTGAAGAATGTGACCTCGCCGGACTTCTAGATCCAAAATCCGTCAACACAACACAAGACCATGTTCTTCTCTTGTCTCATCGTAGTCTAGACATTCAACGCTCAATACAGGCGACAAGTCCGTAGCGTGTGCTACACCCTCTAGACTGTTACATTCGTCGTCTATCGGCCTCGCTTCGGGCTGCTTCCAACTGCTAGCGCGCTGGACTTAATTGACGGTGAGAGTTGCCTCCCACAGGAACCGCATCCCTGTCGCTTCGATAGTCTCTTGCAAGAGTTTGTCCCTGAACCCCGTGAGCGTTAGAACAACAACAGCAGGAGTATTAGAACAGCAGGAAAGCAATTTCAGAGCCCCGTGGCGAAGAAAATCGTAGATTGGCGCGTTGGCATCGGTAATACTGGGGCTACCGGCGGAACAGTAATAGCCCTCTTGACGCTCGCTTGAGCTCCTCCACCAGGGATTTTCCGTTCGCTGTGAACAGCAGAGGCGCCGGCTCTGTGCGCTTTTGACGGTTTACTCGACGATGCACTCCCCGGTCGGCGTTGTGTGGGTGTTGGGACAGCATGCTGCTCCCTTGAGTGGCCCAGCTCGGACGGTCGATGTGAGTGTACTGGTTTCTTCTCGAAGGTGTATGGCTGAATTTGCGCTAGTAGGCAGCTTTTGGACAGCGCTCTAAGGCTTCCAGCATGAGGGTGCGAGCAGATTATGCGCACAAGCTGCGCACTGTCGATCGTCTGATCAGTTTGCACAGGTTAGGTCAATCGTGATCTCCGGATTGACAACGGTGAGCCCTCGAGGGCTCAGTTGGCGACCGTTGGCATCAGGTTGATCTCCGATTACGAGTCTCTGAATCAGGCGAGGCGCCACTGGAGAATGGACTGGCATGTTCAATGCCAACAAGGGACGTCCATGTGAGTTCAAACTGTCCCTCGGAGCCCTCCTGGGCGAAGCGACGGCTCAACAGCTGACCATATCAACAGCATAATGGCACCGATAACGGGCCCACCGACCCTGGAGAGCGCGAAAAAGCGACTGCGAGCGTGCTCCTCACGATGCGCGTGTGGTTGACTCGGAGCAACAAAACGCCTTGTCCATCAGCTACAGCGCAACCTGCTCCGGAAACGAAGTCCTAGTAAGGAGGGCATTTAGCTGCTAAAAATCCTGCCCCATTTTCCCCGTAGCGGATCATCCGCGTCGGTCCAAGTCTTTGGGACGACACCCTGGAACGCCAAAGACGGGCTGGCGTCCATCTTTCGTGGCGGAGAGGACTTTCTGATTCCCGCATCTCAGTAGAATGGAGTTGTGAGAGAAGACGGTATGATGGCGAACATACGACCTGGATACCGAAGAGCATGAGTGTCCTCGAGGAAGCTGCATGTGTAGGGACGCTCCATAGAGAAGAAAACATAATTGTCACCAGTAGTGATGGTAATAATATAATACCTCGTGCTAAACGTTCTACTCACCGTCGGACGAGGAACGCTAGAGACGTTGGGCCCGGTCCCTTCGATACTGGTGCTTTTCCTGTATCCACGTTCACGTCCACACAACTGGACAGCGCTATAGCGCATCTATGCCCAGCGAGTCCGAGTCAATGTCGGGGACTCGGACTTACCTCCATTGCCAAAAGCGGTCGAGGGAATCACGAACACGTGACTAGTGCGCGTCGCGTCCCAACGACGCGTCTCGATCACACGGCACACGGACAGCCTCGCGAGAGGCCCAAAGACGCGATCGAGTGCGCGATGTATGAACTAGGAACGTACAGCAGGCAATTTGTATATACTGTACAAGGCATCCATCCAGATAATGATAAGCAGCGGTAGGGTGTCAACAGCCCGGTGATGCACCAGAGTCTACAAAGTACAACAGCAGCAGCAGTGGGGGCAGCTGGGTGCAGCAGATACACGGGGGATATAAGTTAGTAAGTTAGGGATACACGATCCGGGCGGCTAGTGGAGACAGTGTGTGTTGTGGGGAAACCGGGTGCGCACGCACGGCCCAGTGGAATATTACAGCGGCAGCAGATGGTGCGCGCGTCCCTGCCGATCCGGGCAATCTCAGCCGAGATCACCGCCTCCTCCTCGCTGCGGCCTTCTTCCTCGGCGCAGGCCTCTTCTGCGGTGCGGGAGCCTCCGCGTCCTCTCCAGGCGTGCCCGCCACGCGCTGCGCCCTCTTCTTCGGCGGTGGGAGCGGCGTATCCTTCTCTGCCTCCTCCTCGACCGCGTCCGACGCCTTGCGCTTCCGCCCCTTCTTCTCTTTCTCCACAAGTTCCTCAGCGACCGCCGTCTCCTCCGACGCGTCGCTCACCGCCGTGCTCGACCCCCGACTCGGCATCGCGCCCTCTTGCGAGCTCTCG